CCACAACGACGCATGAAATCAATCCATGTGTTCCTTCACCATGTGGGCCTAACGCTCAATGTCAAGAATATAGAGGCAACGCACGATGTACGTGTTTACCCAATTATATAAGCACACCACCTCGCTGTAGACCAGAGTGTACCGTCAATTCGGAATGTAACGCAGTAATGGCATGTATTAATAACAAATGCGTTGACCCTTGTCCAGGCGCGTGTGGAAATAATGCGCAATGCCATGTTAATAATCATATGCCGATTTGCTCGTGCATCCCTGCTTATACTGGTGATCCATTCACTAATTGTCAACCAATGCAACAAGGTAATGCAAAATAAAAGTATATTTCTTCCTAATTTCTATATTTGTTTACTTTTTTCAATATTATTTTTACATTTCGTAGAAATTGAAGCTATCGATCCTTGTCATCCTTCCCCGTGCGGTCCCAATGCAATTTGTGAAGATGGTGTTTGCACTTGTTTACCCGAGTATCAAGGAGATCCGTACTTCGGTTGTAAACCAGAATGTGTTCTTAACTCTGACTGCCCACGAGACCAAGCTTGTATGAACAATAAATGCAGCAATCCATGTGTCGATACTTGTGGAACTGATGCTTTGTGTGAAGTCATAAACCACATACCTATGTGCTCTTGCCCTCCTGGAACAACTGGATCACCTATGTATTTCTGTACAAAGATATCAGGTACATGTTCCAATATGCCTATATAAGCCTTGTTATATTACTTGTGCAGGTCTTTGAATTATTAATGTTTTTATGTACTTATTGTAACCTATTTTTGAAATTTTTTATTATTTTATTATAACCAGGTATAGGATCAATAGCAATAATACAGTCCATATTGTTTGATACTCGTAACACTTCTGATTTGATACAATGACCGCTAGCGTATTATCTTGTGGAAAAAAATAGGTTTAACGTGTATTAACATTTCTTCCTACTCCTTGTGTCATTTTTGTATAATGCAGATATATTGCAAAATAAATTAATTTTAATTATTATTGTTAATTTTGTAACGGTATCTTTTTCTTTGACTAGAAACACCAACACAATTAAGTCTATGTGAGCCGTCACCATGTGGTCCTTATAGTCAATGTAGAGAAGTAAATGGACATGCTGTATGCATTTGTGTTCACGGATACGTTGGGAGTCCGCCTAATTGTCGCCCCGAATGTATTGTGAGCTCTGATTGCAAATTGAGTGAAGCGTGCTCCAACCAAAAATGTATCAATCCTTGCCCCGGTGCTTGCGGCAGAAACACTCACTGCAATGTTATAAACCACAACCCGTTGTGTAGTTGCTTGCCTGGATATTCAGGAGATCCTTTCTCTGTCTGTCAACATATACGTAAGTAATGATATCTTAATCAATGTAAAAACACTTAAGAGAAGGTACCCCATTATATAACCTATTTTATTATTTATAGCTGCAACACCACCTATTAAGGTTAATCCGTGCTTGCCCTCGCCTTGTGGCCCGAATTCTCAATGCTTTGAAAATGGAGAAAAACCAGAATGTAAATGTTTACCAGACTTCATAGGAACGCCACCTGCGTGTCGCCCTGAATGCACGAGTAACTCCGAATGCTCTCCGACATTATCATGTATAAATCGAAAGTGCAAAGATCCATGTCTAGGCTCATGTGGGGTTAATTCCGAATGTAGAGTAGTAAGTCACACTCCTATATGTCTATGTCAAAATGGCTATACGGGTGATCCATTTATACATTGTAGCATACAAGTATCTTATGCCATACAAGAACGTCCTACACCTTGTGTACCTTCTCCTTGTGGTACCAATGCAGTTTGCAAGGAACAAAACAATGTCGGAGCGTGCTCGTGCCAAGACGGTTATTTCGGTGATCCCTATATGGCATGTAAGCCAGAGTGTTTGATCAATTCTGATTGCCCACCACATCTGGCGTGCTACCAAAATAAATGTCATGATCCATGTCCTGGGACATGCGGTATAAACACGGTATGCAATGTTGTCAACCACATCCCTAGTTGCAGTTGTCTCGATCAACATTATGGTGATCCGTATAGAAATTGTGCATTCAAAATTTACGGTAAGTAGATATATATTGTGAACATTAAAGATGGTATTAATGCTTTAACAATGACATTCTTTACATACTATAATTTATCTTCCAGAAAATTATACGGACCCATGTAATCCATCGCCTTGTGGTCCTAATAGTCAATGCAAAAATAATAATGGATTAGCAGTGTGCACTTGTTTGAGTGGCTACCAAGGTTCGCCTCCAACATGCCGTCCAGAATGTGTAACTAGTTCTGAATGCCCGCTTGACAAAGCCTGTGAGAACTTTAAGTGTATTTCACCATGTCCTAAAGGCTGTGGCATAAACACCGAATGTAGAGTCATTAAGCATAATCCTATCTGTACATGCAAAACTCAATACACCGGTGATCCATTTTCTGTCTGTTATGCCATTATCGAGACAAAGCCAGTCGAAAGAGAACCAACAAATCCATGTATACCTTCACCGTGTGGATTAAACGCCGCATGTCGTGATGTTGGTGGAATTCCTTCTTGCACGTGCCAAATTGGTTTCCTCGGTACTCCACCAAATTGCAAAACTGAGTGTGTAATAAATACTGACTGCAGCAATGACAAAGCTTGTATAAACATGAAATGTCTTAATCCATGCGAAGGATCATGCGGAATTGATGCTATATGCAATGTTATTAATCATGGCCCCGTATGTTCCTGTCCAGTCGGCTACCAAGGAGACCCGTTTGTGGCATGTCAAATAAAACAACCAGGTAACGTTATAAAAATATTCATTACAAACAATTCTACGTTTAACTTAATAGAGACCTCCAATGCTTATCTCACTTTTCAATCAGTAAGCTCGTACTTGCATAGCGCCAGCTTGTCTGATAATTTCGGTTTGCAGTCATTAAATTTTTTATCAAACTAAGTTTTATTTTGTAAATTTTTTTGTAGAACCTCCACAGAAGATTGATCCTTGCCATCCCTCACCATGTGGTTCAAATGCTGCATGTGACAACGGCATTTGCACATGTTTACCGGAGTACAACGGAGATCCTTATTTTGGTTGTCGACCTGAATGCGTTCTGAGTACTGATTGTCCTACTGATAAAGCTTGTATGCAATTGAAATGTATGAATCCATGTCGGGATATGTGTGGAGAGAACGCCGAATGCAACGTTTACAATCACGTTGCTGTCTGCAGCTGTCCAAGCGGAATGACAGGCGACGCGTTTACACGATGCGTTAAAATAGAAAGTATGTAAAAAATTATAATCTTTTGCAACTTTTGTGATAAATGTAACGGCTAACTTATTCATATTATTGAAATTACAGAACCGGTGAGACCATGTGAACCTTCTCCATGTGGACCAAATAGCGTATGTAGAGAAGCAAAAGGTCAAACAATTTGTGCATGTATAACGGGTTACGTGGGTAATCCACCAAACTGTAGACCAGAATGTATTCAAAGTACAGACTGTTCACCATCACTTGCCTGCATCAATAGGAAGTGTCAAGATCCGTGTCCTGGTTCATGTGGTCATAATGCCGTTTGCAAAGTTTATAATCACAACCCTATATGCACATGTCCGCCCAAGCTAACCGGATCGCCATTTACTCACTGTTACGGTAGATATTTATTCATTTTTCAATATTTATTATAAGTTTTGAAATAGAAATAAAGTAGAACTAAATATGTCTTTACAGCTCAAATTTTAAATGAAACTCCGATGAACCCTTGCATACCATCTCCTTGTGGACCTAATAGTATCTGTACACCAGCACCAAACAGAGATTCACCAATATGTGCCTGTCAACCCACATTTGAAGGGGCACCGCCAAATTGTCGCCGGGAATGTTCTACAAGTGAAGATTGTACTGCTGATAAAGCATGCATTAATTATAAATGCACAGACCCTTGCCCTGGATCATGTGGTTCCCAAGCAACATGCATCGTCCGTTTCCATACAGTTATGTGTTCATGTCAAGAAGGATATACTGGTGATCCATTCACTTCATGCTTCCCACAAATACAACAAATTGACACAACTGATCCATGCGATCCGTCGCCATGCGGCGCAAACTCACGCTGCAAAGTTTCAAGGAATGGTGTTGCAGCATGCGTTTGTGAGCCAGGCTATTTTGGAAACCCATATGAATCATGCAGACCTGAATGCGTTTTGGATAATGACTGCCCATTCGACAAAGCTTGTCGTAACAACAAATGCGAGAATCCATGTCCAGGAGTTTGTGGTGCAACAGCATTATGTCAAGTTATTAATCATTTACCATCATGCAACTGTGCACCAGGATATACAGGAAACCCCTATCAATATTGCCACATTATTATAAATGAACCAGGTATATAAAATTTTTAAAAAAATTATATTTATCATAACTTTTTACATTATACTGTGCAAATCAATCGAAAATCACCTGGACACACCGAAACAATTATCTATGCATCACATAAATAGTTGTCCCACGTGGGGAAAAACCCACGACCCCGGCGCCGAAACCAATAACTTTCAAATGCACCACGGAGTCGTCATACGAAGGAAAATAAATTAAAGCAATGAATTTTATTAGAGAAGCTTTGTTATGAATAATAATAATTTCCTTGTTATATAGTAATTATTAACGCTGATAAATGGATTTCTTAACTTTATTAAACAGTAATGGAAATTGAATCCGAATAATAAAATTAATACGTTTCTACCGTTCAATGAAATCTCTCTGAAATTTCAGAACCAACACCGAAAAATCCATGCATACCAAATCCATGCGGTAGTAATTCCGTGTGTAAGAGTGACGAAGGCTTAGTTTCTTGTATATGTGCAAATGGATTCTTCGGTACTCCCCCGAGCTGTCGACCTGAGTGCACTGTAAACTCCGAATGTGAATCATCTAAGAGTTGCGTAAACCAGAAATGTATCGATCCTTGCATTGGTGCCTGTGGACAAAACGCTGAATGCAGAGTTATAAACCATGCACCAATTTGTTCATGCCGTCCACACTTCGAAGGAGACCCGTTCATAAGATGCACTGCTATCCAAGGTACATTAGATAATTATGAAACCTTTTTAAAATCCTAATAAAGTATACATTTATAACCTCCAATACCTTTTATATATATTTTTCCATATATGTATGTTTTAATCATTGTCCTATGTTTCCAGAAATAAAATTACCTGAAACGAACCCATGCATACCGTCTCCGTGTGGCCCTAATGCCTTATGTCAAGCAATAAACAAAGCACCAACATGCACATGTATGGAAAATTATATTGGAACACCGCCGAACTGCAGACCAGAATGCACCGTAAACTCTGATTGCTCGAGCACTTTGGCTTGCATAAATCAAAGATGCCGAGATCCGTGTCCTGGATCATGTGGATTGCAAACATTATGTCAGGTCCATCAACATTCCGCTATTTGCAGTTGCCTTGAGGGATACACTGGCAATCCTTTCGACAGCTGTTACGTCAGAGAGGTTATAGGTAAATTTATTTTTTTATTTAAGCTTCATTGTTACACCTTAGGCTTAGGACTAAAATGAGCGGAATTATGCATATATATATTATTATTGCACTCATATATTATTCATACCAGTTATATGAATAATATATGAGTGCAATAATAATATATATAATCCATATACATTCTCTATATATATAATATCCATATACATTCTCTACCAGTCAACCAGACAACTTTCATGGCGAAAAAAAAAATTATTGATAACATAATAGGAAAATGTTTAATAATCCAAAAGTTTCTCCTCTAATAACAAACTAAATTTACAGAAAATGTGCCGATACAGTACGATAAATGCAATCCAAATCCATGCGGCGCAAATGCAGACTGTAATGACGGAATTTGTTCCTGTAAACCTAATTTCTTCGGCAATCCTTACTTGTCTTGCCGCCCTGAATGCTCGCACAACTCAGATTGTGCTCTAAACTTGGTGTGCAATGAAAATACGTGCGTAAATCCCTGCATTGACTTATGCGGTCAGGGAGCCCAGTGCGAGGTATATAACCACATCCCCATGTGCACTTGTCCACCGAATACAACGGGAAATGCATTCTTCTCGTGTACACCTGTCGCAGGTAAAATTTGGCATATTATTTTTATTATACATGAATCTCTAAACAAGTAAATAAGATATCCAAAAGAGAATTTTGGTAAAAAAAATCATACTTTGCTTATCTTCCCTTGAGTATTATTCTGATTATTGCAATAATATATGACCTAAATCTTACAGTTCAACCGGAAAGGAGGAATCCATGTGAACCATCGCCTTGCGGTCCATACAGTACCTGCCGCAGTATGAATGAGCAAGCCATGTGCTCATGTTTGATAGGATACGTCGGCGTTCCACCTTCATGTAGACCAGAATGTTTAGTGGATTCAGATTGTTCTAGCCTTATGTCTTGTTCCAACCAGAAATGTATTGATCCTTGTTCTGGTACCTGTGGTATAAATGCAATATGTAAAGTGCATTATCATAAAGCAATATGTTACTGTCCAAGCGGTTACAGTGGTGATCCCTTTACTCAATGTTCAGTTATAGTACAAGGTATGTTTTAACTATATCTTATATGTTTAAAATCTATTATATTTCTTACTAATAATTTATTATTTTCAGAGGAGGTCCCACTAAGGAAAACTCCATGCGAACCGTCACCTTGTGGACCTAACGCTCTGTGTAAAGATGTAGGCAATTCACCGTCATGTACTTGTCTTTCTGGGTATATTGGAACGCCACCTTACTGTCGCCCAGAATGTATATCAAACAGCGATTGTAGCTTCGACAAATCTTGTATAAACAACAAATGTGCAGATCCGTGTGTTGGAGCCTGTGGTATTAACGCTGTATGTCGAGTCGTAAGCCACTCGCCACAATGCATCTGTGAACATAATTACAAAGGTGACGCATTCGATCAATGTTATCCTATAAAACCATCAAATGCACCATCAGAGTTTAACGCACCTTGCGTACCGAACCCTTGTGGCTCAAATGCAATCTGTCAAGAACGCAACAATGCCGCTAGCTGCACCTGTATAAGTGGTTACTTCGGAGACCCTAACGAAGGCTGTAGACCAGAATGTGTGATTAACATCAGATTGTTCAGAGCATCTGGCGTGCATAAACGATAAATGCCAAGATCCCTGTCCAGGATTATGTGGTTCAAACGCTCAATGCCAAATGGTCAATCATGTGCCTAAGTGTATTTGCATAACTGGATATGTTGGTAATCCATATGATAGCTGCCGTATTATTAAAGGTGAGAGTTCTACTAAATATTTTAATTAAAGTGCAAACTAAAACGTGTTTAAAGATATCGAAACACCATGTCAATATAATGCTGGTCAGTGCCACTGCACCGACTGCACCCACTGGTAGTGGTAGACTATTGAATAGGTCAATCTTTGACTTGTAAGCTGAAAGCCAGTGACATCACCAATAAGTTAGAGGAGAGTAACCAAATATGGGCTACCATTTTGTTTTTGCCTCAAAAATAAAAAACTATTAAAAAATTAACCATTTATTGACATCAAAATAATTACACATACATTTTTAAAGAACTAATTAACAATCTTATATTCTTAATATTATAATATATTATCAAATTGAGCATTAAACAAAATATCAAAATAGGCGCTAAATATGGAACAGATACTCAAATATGGGCTACAAATAGAAACTTAAAATATCTTGTACAAAAATAACAATTATAAATATTTATCTTATAAGAGATCAAATTACTTTGGTACATGGAAGAAATCACATAATTACTTACAAAAATCACATATCCAGGTGTCAAACTCTGGCCCAGCACAGTCATTAGGTATGTGCCCAGAGCTTACACATTAAACTTCTGACCCACAATTTTCCTGCCGTGTTTTCGGAAAAAAGTTCCTGACAAAACATACACGCTGCGTCGGCAGTGTCAGGAGCCTCTCTTCCTATAGGGGCATCTGGTTCACTATCTGATTCAAATTGGATATCTTCTTCAACTTCAAGTTCGTCCTTGACTTTCTTATTTCCTATACTTCTTTGCTTTTGCTTGGGTTTCTTATCTTTTATTTTATTTTCTTTTTCAATTTTCTTCTTACTTGTTTGAATAAGGTCATTTTTAAATGGAGACGAAGTTATAAGCGAGGCCACAGCAGCTTTTATACCTCTATTAGTTGTCTTTCTGACTTTTTTTGGCATGGAACTTATGACATAAGGAGATACTAAACCTAGAATGCTACGATGAATTCCGGAAGACGAAGGTTGACAGTTATCTGTTGGATCATGTCCAGTTCCAGAAGTAGATTCTTCTGTTTGAGTCTCAGACCTTGACCATAGCCCATATTCAGGACCATAGTCATAGCCCATATTCGGAATTCTTTACTAAAATCAACTTAATCATGTACTTTACAAATCATAATAGCAAGCAATAAATCGACCGAAAATCATAAAATTAAACTTATATTCTGCAATAAAACACATAGTTATAGTATTTAACCTAATTTTCATTCATTAAATAACACATTGATACGTACCCCAGAAAATTTTTCGACAACAGCAACACAAGTATGACCGACTCTGGCGACAGCTTGCACGCGAATGACGAGAATGAGTGAGCGCGATATTAGAGCGAATGAATGCAATAGACGATCGTCGTTTGTTGAGTCTTTCGATTGTAGGTTTTCGAGAATTGTTACTAGCCCATATTAAAGCACTAGCCCACATTTAGTTACTCTCCTCTACCATTTTCGAGATTTTAAATTTAGAAACATGATCATTCCCGGGCACTCTAGTACTATCTATAGACCTCATTAAAAATAAAAGCTTTAAAAGCTTGTATTTATGTATTTAGATATAGCTTGCGTTATTATTTTTCCAATATAATGTTACTTAGCTTGCCACTGTTATAAGAATTTTTAAGAACAATCAATAGAACTTAACAGTTATTGTCAGTCTTTCCTTTCGTCAACTACCGTCTTCATACCTCACTAAGAATATAATTTTAAATAAACATTTGCTATTTCCCCGTCGAATCTTTTTAACAAGGAATATCATATTCTTTGTCAAAAAGATCCATTAAGTATTAATAAATATATTTAACCACTTTATAATCTTAGAACATTTCACAACTGTCATTTTATCCACCACGCATAATTTAGTTATATAAATTTTCTATAAATTTCAGAAACCCCTTCAGATCCATGCAACCCATCACCATGTGGTCCATACAGCGTTTGTAAAGCGGTAAACGGGAAAGCAATTTGTTCATGTTCACCTGAATACATTGGTAGTCCACCTAACTGCCGACCTGAATGTGTAACAAGCCCAGAATGCCCTCTTAATAAAGCGTGTGTTAAGCAAAAGTGCATCGACCCATGTATTGGAACGTGCGGAGAAAACGCGCAATGCCGTGTTCACCATCACAGTCCATATTGCACTTGTATTGCTGGTTTCGAAGGGGATCCATTTTCGGTGTGCGTTCAAATCGTTGAAAAGGAAGTAGCAACTTCTCCTTGTGAGCCCAACCCATGTGGACCATTCGCTATCTGCCGAGATGTCGGTGGATCAGCTATATGCAGCTGTAAATCTGGATATCTTGGTGTGCCACCGAAATGCGGCCCAGAGTGTACAATTAATGAAGATTGTCCTAAAGACAAAACATGTCTAAGGGAAAAATGCATCGACCCCTGTACTGGATCCTGTGGAGCTAACACCAACTGCCATGCAATGAACCATCTTGCCATATGTACTTGCTTACCACATTATCGCGGCGATCCTTTTGTCGGATGCTATGTCTATGAAGGTAAAATTTTAACATTATATTCAATATAGAACAAGGAACAACGCAATACTTTTTTTAAACATTCTACAATCCTTTACACGGTTTTATTACTTACAGAAAAAGATCAGCTACAACCAGTTGACCCTTGTGCTCGATCTCCTTGTGGCGTTAATGCATTGTGTAGCAATGGTAGTTGTGAATGCATACCGGGATATCATGGAAACCCTTACATTGAATGCCGACCAGAATGTACGATGGACAACGACTGTGACAAACAATTAACGTGCATAAATTACAAATGCATAAATCCATGCAAGAATGCTTGTGGGGTTGACGCTGTATGTAACGTTTACAATCACATCGCAATTTGTGAATGTCCGTCTCCATTACAAGGAGATCCTTTCATTTCCTGCAAACGCGTCGTTGGTTAGTAAATAACAGATAAGCTTATAATATATGATAATCTTCACTACATATCACAATGGACTAAAATTTTCTATTTTTTATCTGCAGAAAACAATGTGGTGGATCCATGTTCACCAAACCCCTGTGGACCCAATAGTGTATGTCGGGCAAGTGGAAGCGTTGCACATTGTTCATGTCGAGCACCTATGTACGATGAACCGCCATCTTGCAGACCCGAATGTCGTGTCAATTCTGACTGTCCCTCTGATCGTGCTTGCCGAAACAACAAATGCCACGACCCATGCCCGGGCACTTGTGGTTCTCATGCCATTTGTCGCACAAGAATGCATTCTCCCATATGCAGTTGCCCAGTTCGATATACAGGCGATCCATTCACACGCTGCTTGCCAAGTAATTAATAACATTACTGATTGATTAAATAATGTAATTGTGTAACATTGCACAGTAACGTCTTGTATATTTTTGTTTTAGTTGCTTTTGATACAACTTCGAAAGATGTTTCGCCCTGTCAGGACTGTGGACCAAACGCAGACTGCGTCGACGGAAAATGCCGTTGCAAAGTCAACTTCTTCGGGACACCTCCATTCTGTCGTCATGAATGTCTCAGTTCGATTGATTGCGATTGGAATTTGTCATGTTTAAACAGGCGTTGTGTTGATCCATGTCCAGGCGCCTGCGGACAAGGCGCAATTTGTACTCCCACAGCACACAATCCGCGCTGCGATTGCCCCCCGAAAACTACCGGGAACCCTCTTTATGCATGTCGACCCATCAACACAATTCGTAAGATAGCTCAACTGGAAGATATGCTTTATCAGATGTTTCTTTTGATATTACAGATTTTGCTAGCCAATAAATAGAATGTTCGTTGAACGACGGTGAACTTGAGTTTTCGCTTTTAAAGCTTAGGCATGGGTTTTACTAGCGAAACAAAGGGAGCCGATCGTTCAATACATTTAATACTCGTCCGCTTAATACTAAGCGCTTATTGTATTTGCTACAAGGTTCTACAATAAATACCCAATACTTTAATTCATTTTCAAAAAATTACAGAAATACCACAAAACACATCGTGCAATCCATCGCCATGTGGTCCTGGTGCTATCTGTCATATCAAGGGTGCAGCGGCGTCGTGCGAATGTGAACCTGGCTTACGCGGAGATCCGTACTTTGGCTGCCGACCTGAATGTCTCGCAGACTCTGACTGTTCCCCAACGCGAGCGTGCATGCGATCACGTTGCCGAGACCCTTGCAAGGGCACATGCGGCATAGATGCCGAATGCGAAACTGTCAACCACATACCGCTTTGTTCGTGCCCGCCTGGTACTAGAGGGAACGCTTTTGTTAAGTGCGACCCTATCCCACCAGGTAAGATAAAAAACCTAATACCGTTTGCTACTTAAAGAAATTAATAGTTAAACAGTCTGATAATGGATATAAAATCTACATGCTTACGTGGAATATGAATGTGTACTTGATATAGGTATTTGTTAATTTAAATTTTCCTATTTTACAGCGCTTCCGTGTACGCCATCACCATGTGGCCCTGGGGCACTGTGCACTGTTTCGGGAAACACTGCCGTATGTTCTTGCCCAAGTGGCACTAGCGGCGATGCAGTTTCGACAGGATGCCGACCAGAGTGCGTCGTTAGCTCAGAATGTTCTCGAGACCGTGCTTGTGTTCGCAACAAATGTGTTGACCCCTGCGTGGGTGCCTGCGGGAATGGGGCCACTTGTCGTGTCTTCGATCATGCACCAATATGCTCCTGTCCACCGATGACTACTGGAGATCCATTCCTTAGTTGTAGAAGTAAGATTTTCGTTTATTACCCGGAACTGTTTCTAAATAGTTATCCAAATAATGTTATGAAAAGTAAATGATTACATTGTTTTTTATGGCGTAATTAAACGAAGCAACGACGAGCTTATAACATGACGGTATCTTATACATACATCTTTCAGTAAACAAAGTATTTAGAATATTATCGGATGAACAAGATGAAGAAGAATTCTGAACGTCACTCTGTCCGTTCTTCACGATTAATATAATTTACCAATCTTAAAAACAGGAATGTGCAAGGGAACTACCTATATATTTTATATTTAAATGGGTCACGCAACAGTCTCTGCTGTGGCCTGAATGGGCAGACTCGTCCGGGGAAGCACTACGGCCTCACGGAAGATCAGCGTGAAGTGAAAGTATTGCACTTTTACGTTTCATCTGGTGTGTGAGGTAACTAGGGCCCACGGTTTTTTAAGGTTGTCGACACAACTGCATAACCTTATGTGATGTCCATGAACGGCGGTCACTTAACATCAAAAAAGCTGTTGCTAACTTGACAATTTTTCACATAAAAAAGCTTAAGACATAAATTTTGAACTATGCCATATACCATTACTAAATATTTTTTTACCTAACAATTAATTCATGAATAATTTTTGCAGCGGTGTCACCAGAGGCGCACGATCCTTGTGACCCGAATCCTTGTGGACCGCAAGGAACATGCCGCGACGGCTTCTGCACTTATTACGAGTGTACTGTAAACGACGATTGCCCGGGAGACCGCTCGTGCATCAACAGAAAATGTTCAGACCCATGCATAAACGCTTGCGGTCTCAACGCAATTTGCACAGGAGTCCGGCATACCGCCGTATGTTCATGTCCCCCGGGCTACACTGGTTACTCTTTCGTTCGTTGCGATAGAATAACATTAACGCCTACTGAGACACCTAAACCTGAATGTAGAAATGACGACCAATGTTCAGAAACCGCAGCTTGCGTTGACTCTCGGTGCATATCCGTATGTGGACCGACAAATTGCGGCCTCAATGCTCAATGTGTTGGGAAACAACATAGAGCCCGTTGCGCGTGCTTGCCAGGATACGAAGGCGACGCATATTCGGGATGTTATTCAGGTACACACTATTCCGTTTTCACACCATGATTGTGGTAAAAAAAAAAAAAACAAATTAAATTGAATTTTCTTACAGTGCAATGCCACAGCAATAATGACTGCCCCGACGATGAAAGCTGTGAGAGCGGATCTTGTGTTAAAGTCTGCTCCCGTATTCACTGCGGTGTTGAGGCTCATTGTGTCGCCCGCGGGCATAGTGCATCCTGTGAATGCAACCCCGGAGCCCAAGGCAACCCATGGACTTCCTGTCGCAGAGACGAATGCACAAATGACGAAGACTGCCCGACATGGCTTGCTTGCAGAGGAAAGTCTTGTCAAGATCCCTGCCCTGGAGCTTGTGCGCAAGGTGCATTGTGCACAGTTATGCGCCACGCTCCAATTTGCGAGTGCCCGCGAGGAACACAAGGCAATCCAAGGATTAAATGTGAACCGGGTACATACACACTGTAAAAATAATATGTATAAAATACGCACTGTAGCGAACATTTTTTTTTAAATCGTCTATTAAAATGTGCTTTTTCGACTTTTAGTGCAAGCTGACGTAGAATGTGAGGGCGACGCTGATTGCGGCCCAGATCTAGCTTGTCTCCGAGGCGCATGCAGGAACCCCTGTGACGCAACTTCTTGCGGAGCTCGTGCCGTCTGTCGCGTAGCCAATACGTTGCCTTTCCGTACACTTGTGTGCGAATGTCCGAAACCACTTACCGGAGATGCATCGGTTCAATGTGTGCCAAGTAAGTTATCATACACGACGTCACACGTCCATCTGTCCATTTTCTTTGAATAGAATTAATGCAAAACATTTTAATTATTAATTGATATTATTTGCAGCCGTATAACATTGGTGAACAACATATTTTTAATAAGATTTTTTGTACGCATTAACGGGTAGGTCATGATTATTTTCACACGCTCCCCTTTCAGAGAAACTGTACATACACAACAATCTCGATTTGTATTGTAAATACAAAACTTAAACTGTTCAAAGAGCAGGTGTCTTTTTGTTATATTTCTTTTTATAACTGTACATTACACTTTGTATTTTTATACCATCATTCTGAAACACATATGTCACCATATGTTTTTTCAGAAGGGTCCTCCGTTCTCCTTCTTTAGACATTAGAAGATAATGCATTGTGTTTCGTATTATCAGAACCTCAATGCCAGCAAGATAGTGAGTGTGGGGACGAAGAGCGCTGTTCTAACGGCCACTGCGTTGCTGTCTGCGACGAACGTTCCTGTGGTTCCGGCGCCGAGTGCCGCGCGCAATCTCACAAAGCCACATGCCGCTGTGTGCCACCTCTGCAGGGCGACGCCAACGTGGCCTGTACACCAGGTTGGTAATATGAACGATTTCTACTACGCTCTTTAAATGCGGTACCTCTCCCTTTCTGTAAATACGATACATCTTTCTTGTATGATCTTGTATTCTCTCTTCACATGGATAGGAAATTTTCACACAAGTCTTATTTTTTAACAGCGAATACGTGCTTTATTTGTGCGTCAATACTATCGTTAATCAATAACCAATTTCTTAGACGCCCTTTTTGCCCGTCTCATTTCTACGTGTCATACGAATCTTTACTTTTGAGTTTTCTCTATAATTAATCAGATTATCTGACCAAACCATCTCAATATTCCATTTTTATAATACTATTAATTTAATTGAATTCAATCAGCCTACTACAGTCTACTGCTGGACATAGGTCTCCCCCAAGGGCACGTCGCAGTGTACGGTCTTCCGCTTTCCTATTTCAGCCACTATCAGTGACCTTTTTTAGGTCATCGTTCCAACTGGCAGGGGGACGTCGCACACTACGTTTGCCGAGACGTGTTTTCCATTCGCGTACCCGTCTACTCGAATTATTACTATCACAGCGCTCACATTTGATTGTCACATTTCTGTCCGTAAAAGTAATACTGTATCTAATCTTTAAACAGGAGCAGAAGGAACTGGCTGTGAATCTGACACGGATTGCGGCACGGCTGAAGCCTGCGTGGCGCGTCGCTGTGTGGCCGCTTGCGCGGGCGCCTGTGGGGCCGGCGCACTGTGCTCAGCGCCTCAACACCGCGCGCGATGCCACTGCCCGCCCGGCACAGCCGGCGACCCGGCGCGCTTCTGTTACACGCGTAAGTTATTTTTATACGTACCAGCTAACATGAAGTACGCATTCGAAACTGGTTGGCAGATACCCACCCAGCACGTTGACCGCGCAAATCAACCCGATTGTTCACATGTAAGTTAAGTTTAAGCTTCCCCGACTACGCTGCTTGTACATGAGCTGAGTATGAGTATGGGTTTAGGTCTTTATAGGAATAGAATTAAATGTATGACATCTTCTGAAACCTTATCGTAAAACTTTAGCGAAAAAGAGAAGTAAAAAACGGACAAAAGAGGCATACTTACATACTTTATGTGAGAAGGTGGCAATCGAGTAGGTGTTTAATATGATGGTAAGCGATTATCGCCACCCATATACCGCCACAACACCCGTGAGGTGACAGATGCTTTGCCAACCTATAAACGGCTAGACCCCAATTGCCTAACTTACCGGACATAATGTTTAAATTCGAACAATAGGGCATTAAACCGGGCTTTTTAATTTCGAACTATAACTCAAAATTTCATTTTCTTTTTAGCTGAATGTACATCCGACGAAAACTGTCCATTCGACAAGAGCTGCGTGAGCGGATACTGTCAGGACCCTTGCACATTAGGATCGCCATGTGGACGCGACGCGACCTGCGTTGCCGTCGCCCACATGGCAACGTGCCGATGCCCGCCCGGAACGCAGGGCGATCCAAGCGACGCTTGCATTTCTGTGGCATGCCATTACAACGAAGATTGCGCGAACCATCAAATCTGCAACCGACTCAATCACGTATGCCAACCGGTGTGCACCGACAACGCTTGCGCCACGGGAGCCCTATGCACCGCCAACAACCATCAACCGACATGCACTTGTCAACCAGGAACATCTGGGGATCCTTACGTTCGCGGATGCGGCATAACACAAGCCGTACCCGAATGCTCCAAAGACATCGATTGCGTGGCGCCACTGGCTTGCGTTAATGCACGGTGCATCGATTTATGCTTAGGCAACCCTTGCGATGAAGGGCTGAATTGCAAAATTGTGGACGTATTACCATTGCGAGCTGTTGCGTGCGTCTGTCCAGAAGGTGGGCGCGTGGCACCGAACAACGGATGCCGACCACCGCCAGTATCGGAATGCTCCGCTGACTCCGATTGCTCTGATAGCCAAACTTGTCGACGCGGTAGCTGCGTGGTAGCATGCAGGGCAGCACCTTGTGGATATAACGCTCTATGCGAATCTATAGATCACGTTTCTCGCTGCTCATGTCCACCTGGTTATATTGGAAATCCGAGAATCGAATGCAACATTGGTAAGCATAATATATATTTGACCTTCGGCAAATATTAGTGAAGAATTTTTATTATTGTTATAAAAAATAAACCTGCGATAGATATTTAACTTTATTATCAATTTAAATACAACATTTAATTTCAAATTTTTAGCGTTATTTTATAATTTTTAGTCTTCTCACTTACGATAAAACTTGAAAATGTGTAGATAAAACTGACGCGAAATAAACTAAATTTATAAATAGCAAACGCGACATCTGTAGTTTTTAAATATTCCTATAAAAATGACATTTGAGAAACTGTGATTGCTTAACGGAATGTGCTGCGAAGCATTGGTAGAAATGCAATTAAAAGAAAAAAGATTATATGTCGATTTACGCGCAGTGAGGACCGCTTAACTTACTGGCGAGAGCATCTAGCAGCGTGGAAAAATTATGGGGCAGTTTTATCTACACATTGTAAAATATTGGTAAATTGGATCAATTTTATAAATGCTAAATGGCATTGCTTAAAATTTAATAAAACCAATCGAGACGCTTTAACAACTATATATAGTTCGAAACCAGTGTGGCAGTGGAGAAAATGTTTTGGCTAATTTCTCTACCCATTTTCGGTTTCATCTTCATGCATTGAAAACAAGCACTAAAGTATTAAATTAATAATTCTCTTCTTTTTGGCAAAAAAAAAACGCGGAAGGTGCCGTTTTTACAAGTTATAATAATCGTGTTGATACTTAAGAATTCCAAAACCTATTAATGTACAATTTACTAGCCGAACTATTCTTTCAAAATACACTGAACTACCTGGTACCTTACTATAACGTTCAGACCAATATAGAGGAAAAGCGCAATGTAATTAACTGTTCAAATATTTCTTGCAGAAGGAAGACAACCTGCAATATTCGAATGTTACATGGATGCCGAATGTGATTCAGAACAAGCGTGTGTTGAACGCACTTGTGTGAACCCCTGCACAAATTCATGCGGAATTGGAGCTCTATGTAGAGTGATCAACCATAAGCCACAGTGTTCTTGTCCTAGAGGATATAGTGGCGATGCAAATACGCGTTGCGTTCCACGTAAGTATTTTATTGTAATAACTCTGCCATTTTACAAAATCAAAGCTTATTGCAAATGATAATTTAGAGAACTTCAGTTTTTTAGAAATTTAGAGAACTTCAGTTTTTTTTTATATTTGTCTTAGTGTTAATAGTAACTTAGTATTAATTAATCGATGAATAGAAGATATATGAGTATAATTTCTCTATCGTTTAAAATTTATTTTAATTGTAACACGCGAACGTCAATTTTATTTACATTAAATCGTTTTCCTTTCAGCATCAGACAAATCAGTATTACCAGTTGGCTGCAAAGCTAATTCAGAGTGTCCATTGTCTCAAGCATGTATAAATGGCGCATGCGCCAGCCCATGTGTTTGCGGTGATAACGCTGAATGTAACGTCATAAGGCATCACCCAGTTTGCTACTGCGAACGTGGCTTTTCAGGAAATCCCTATATTGGGTGTACAAAAGGTTTGTTTATTTCATTATAATAAAAATGAACTTCAGAGTATTACAGAAAAAAAATATTGTTTTTAAAATCTTAAATATAATTTTTTATTTGAAATCACATTATATTCTTTGTTTATATATTATTTTTCTATATTATCCTCACAGTGAGCTGCACATCGGATAACGAGTGTTCAGACAACGATACCTGTTACAATGGCGCTTGCGTGAATCCATGCATCATCGAGGCACCCTGTGCTATCAGTGCTGAGTGCTACGGGCAGGCTCATCGACCGACTTGCCGTTGTCCCGTCGGAACCATTGGAAATCCATATGCAAAATGTCAATCAGCTGAATGTGAGATTGACGCTGATTGTAACGATGATAGCGCATGCGTTAAAGGTGTTTGCCATAACGTGTGTTCCATTGAAGGGCGTAATCCTTGCGCCAGCAACGCCGAATGTTTCGCTCGTAATCACGCTGCATCTTGTAAATGTCCACCTGCCCTACCGCTTGGTGATCCCTTAACTTATTGTACGAAGCTCACGGTAATTGGAGAACCAGAATGTCGTATGGATGGTGACTGTCCCAGCAGCCACGCTTGTCTCAGAGATAAATGTCGGGAGGCATGTTCAGAACTAAAACCGTGCGTGGGTAATTCTAGGTGCTCAGTATCGGACAGCGTGCCATTCCGAACTCTGATATGCCGCTGCCCAGAAGGATACACACCAGACGAAGGAGGATCATGCATACCATCACAGTTACCATCCCTTAGTTGCTCAACCGACCAGGACTGTAGTGATACTGAATCATGTGTTAATAGAATCTGTCGAAACCCCTGCAACTGTGGTGATAATGCAGAATGTTTCGTCCGTGACCACCGACCTGTGTGTTCGTGTCGCGAAGGATTCGATGGCAACCCATACCTTTCATGTCGCATCGTTGGTTGTAGAACAGATACAGAATGCGAGTCACATCAAGCCTGTATTAACGGAAATTGTGTTAGTCCATGCTTATTAAACAGCACTTGTGGAACAAACGCCGAATGTTATGTAGAAAGAAATCAGCCTCTTTGTCGTTGTCTTTCTGGATTTGAGGGAGACGCATACACAAATTGTAACCTCGTTGAATGCAGAGCTAACGGTGATTGTCCTCTTGATAAACAATGTCACGCTCATAGATGTATAGACCCATGCTTTTCAGGAAATATTTGTGGATCAAATGCCATTTGTTTAGTCAGAAACCATATCGCAGTTTGTAAGTGTGATCAAGGCTATGTTGGGAGTCCTTACATAGAATGCCGACGACAAATCACGAAAGAATGTTTCGTGGACGCTGATTGTCCCTCGAAACTTGCCTGTTTATCATCTAAATGCGTCAATCCATGCACAGAATTACGACCTTGTGCCACGCCGGCGACATGTGAAGTTTCACCAACATTACCAGTAAGGACTATGCTTTGTACTTGTCCAGTTGGGTACGTAAGCAGCGGTGGCGGAATATGTAGACCTGCAACCTCTATCCCCGATACAGTTTGTGTAATGGATAACAACTGTACTGCAAATCACGCCTGCGTAAATTCCTTGTGTAAAAATCCTTGCGATTGCGGACCTAACACAGATTGTAAAATAAAAGACCATAAGCCAGTGTGCGCGTGTCGTCAAGGATTTATAGGTGATCCTCGAACCGGTTGCTATGAGATCACCTGTCGCGCCGATAACCAATGCGCGGATGATGAAACATGCATGAACAATCGCTGCATACCTGTTTGTTCAATCGACGCTAATATCTGTGGACGATCAGCAGAGTGCTACGGTACAGAACATCGTGCTTCCTGTCGCTGCAAAATTGGCTCGGTTGGAAACCCGTCCATTGCTTGCACACCAATAAGCTGTCGTGCTAATAACGATTGTCCTACTGAAAAATCATGCGTTAACTCAAAGTGTGTGGAGCCTTGCTCAACAATCACTTGCAACGAACCAGCAGAATGTAGAGTACACCAACATGAAGTATACTGTGTCTGTCCGCCGGGCTACCAAAGTACAGAAGACGGTTGCGTAAAGACGGGAGAACCGCAATGCGCAAGTGACGTTGACTGTCCATCAGGCCTAGCGTGCCTCAACACTACGTGCGTTAATTCATGCTTAAAATCAACACCATGTGGCGATAACGCCGACTGCAGGGTTATAAATACGCTTCCAGTTAGGACCTTAATATGCGAATGCAAACCAGGATACAAAGGCAACGCTCTCGTTGAATGTACGCCATACTTAAGTAAGTTTCTGACATCTTATTTTATCTCTAGAATTAATTCCTAACACAAATAGCTCGTTGATATTTTTAAAATCCAATGATTTAAAAGTAGACAACATTTTTATTAATTTTCAGCACCCACCGCAAAATGTGTAGACGGGCAAGGAATTGACGGTAACGGTGACTGTGTGCCTTGCAACGAGAACGAGGGACGAATAATAGACGCCCGAGGACGTTGTGTGTGCGATTGGGACAAAGGATACACGCCGCGTGGCAATACGTGCGTGGCGATTGGATGTCGTGCAGATGACCAGTGTGATGAGCAATCGCGTTGTATAAACGGCGTATGCGTTAATGCTTGCGAAGCCGAACCATGCGGTCAGCACACAACTTGCGAAGTCGTAGGACACCGATCCCACTGCTCTTGTATTCCCGGATACGTCGGCAACCCAAGAGTCCAGTGCTACAATGCAACTACACCACAAGATAATTATCGTACTGACTTCCCGCTACCCGACATGCAGGTTTGTTTTTTTTTTTTGTAAACAATTTATACACATAAATTTATTTGTATTTGCATTATTAACAGATATGGTTTAAGTGATGTGTGAAGCAGGATTCCATATGACTATGCTAAGACCGCAATATTAAAAACAGCCAATATGGTATGTTTTTGTGGGTGTATTGAAATCTCCAACAATAACAACACATTATTATTAAACATCATTGGAAATCTCTGCTCATCTTTAACTTTAAATTTTCTTCACTGAAATCACCAAAATATTGGGTATTTATTTTTTCTAGGTCCATTGTTTGGCGGATGGAGTGCGGGTGAGTCTTAAAATAAAGGACTTCAACGGAGTGCTGTATGTTAAGGGCTACAGTAAAGACGAACGCTGCAGACTTGTCGTTCACACACCAGAAAGCCAAGAAAGCACTGTTGACTTCACCGTACATTTCGGCGATTGTGGTCTAGTGCATGTCAACGTATGTCAAATACTATATTCATATGAAATTCAAAAATACGCCTAAATAGTTTACCCCTCCATCATTGTGTTTATTAATATTTTAGGGACTGGCAAGCTTCGTACTCGTGATGCAGATACATCCTACGTTATTAACGTCGAACGCTAAGGCATTCCACATCAAATGCATCTACCAGACGGGAGAACAAAATGTCACTTTGGCGTTTAACGTATCAATGTTAACCACAGCCGGCACGATCGCAAACACTGGACCACCACCAACATGCTCCATGAGAATTGTGTCCAGATCTGGTGATGAAGTTAGTTCCGCCGAAATTGGCGAAAACCTTGTCTTACAAGTCGATGTCCAACCGTCAAGTAAGTAATTGTTCACGTTAAAATCTCACGAAAACCATATATTATTTCGGCCGTATGATTTAGTACTTTTTCGGCTAAAAGGTTAACGTAGTTTCTTAAATTTATTTTTAAGCTTTCTATTATTTTTTTTTTTATTTATACTTCATATATATTCCAATTGCTAAGGGTTACAACTGGGAAAAAATTGAATAATTTAATAGGTTATTGAATTAATTTTATATTTGATTTCAATTATTTAATTTACATTTGTTACATTTTATAGGCATATACGGCGGATTTGCCCGTAGCTGTATAGCGAAAACAAGTGAAGTGGCAACAAATATAGAAAACGAATACACGGTGACAGACGCAGATGGTTGTGCAACTGATGCCGCCATTTTCGGAGAATGGGAACGTAGCGAAGACGGCAGTGCCTTACGGGCTGCTTTCAACGCATTTAAGTTCCCTAGTAGCGATAACATAAGATTCCAATGCAACATTCGTGTCTGCTTTGGAAAATGCCAGCCGGTAAGATTATTATACCTTATTTGTATTGCACAATCTTTTGGCTGTCGATCAGGCTTATTTCCTTTCACAGTTACATCCAAAATCTTACTAACTCTCCATATGGGATAATATCAGCTGTTTGTTCTAATAGGTTATCTTTATAGAGGTGTGTGCTAACATTTATAGGACACGTGAGAACTTATGCTTTTTCGGCTACTCAATATCAAAATAATAGTTATTGAATAAGGTAAGGTAAAGTAGTTATTGAAAACTACTTTACCTTACCTTTCCGCTTAATTCACGTGAAGTGACTTTGTGTATGAAACAAACTTTATTTCAGGTTAACTGCCGTGGATACGACGCATTCGGAAAGCGTAGAAAACGAGAAGTGATCGATCCCAGGGATGGCTTTTATAACAACGAAGGTCAATTCCGGGAGGAGGTGATTGTCGAATCGAATCCGATATTGACGTTAGAACGACGCGATCCGTCGCGAGTAGCCCGGGCAGCGCGACGGGTCCGGCGCGGAGGCGGCGGGTGGCGCGAATGGAGGAGAGGTGTGCGTTTCTGCAGCTGGGTTGGCGGTGGCGCTGGCGCTGACGGCGCTCCTGGCCCTTGTGGCGGTGGCAGCCGCCGTGGCCTGTTGGCTGGTGGCCTGGCGAAGAGCGCGTCCTCCGCCCGCCCCGCTCCCCCACCCGCCCGACTTCCCCAACCCGCTGTTCCAGCGCTGAGTACGCTAGTCGCGCGCAACGCTCCTCCGCCGGCGCCGGGTGGTGTCGGCTCCTTCCTTCCTCTCGGCTTTAATCTGAGCGCGCCTTCGGAGGACCGCTGGGCAAGGTCGCAGCGAGCGCCGCGGCATTAGCCGCCTCCCTCGCTCGCGCTCGCTGCGCCCTATTAAGTTTAGCTTTTATACTTTTTAACTTTGTAACTTTTTAACGTGAATCCGTCGCCTCCTTCGAACTTTGTGATATTCATAATATAAATATTCGAAATCACCATAACTTTATGTAATATAACTATTGATTTTAGATTGTAAGCGAATAATAATAATAATAATAATAAACATCGTTGTTTTTTTGCATTGAAGCCAAAATATAAAACCCATTTAGACGTTGTTATTAGAGCACCCCAAGGGTAAAACGGGTCCCTTTTACTAAGGCACCGCTGTCTGTCTGTCTGTCGTCTGTCCGTCTGTCATCAAGCTGTATACTGTTAGACAGTTGAAATTTTCTCAGATGATTTTTGTTTTTTATGTGAGGAAATGGCAAACGAACTGGAGGTTCACCTAAGTGATAACCGCCACCCATGGACATTTACAACAACCGTAGGGTTGCATATACGTTGCCACCTTTAAATTAAGTGGGCCCCGGCTACCTCACTCACCAGACGAAACGCAGAAATGTAACACGTCTACTTTACGCCGGCCTTCTGTGAGGTCTTGCTACTTACCCGGACGAACCTGACCATTTGTGCAACAGTTAACGCGTTTGTGGCCCTACTAAAGTTAAAAACCACACTAAAACTACCACAGTTAAAAGCCCTACCACAGTGATATATTTCTATTGCCGCTATAAAAACAAACACTAAAAAACATAATAAAAAAATATTTAAGTGGGGCTCCCATACAACATTCATGACTTTTTGCCGTTTTTGTTGATAATAGTACGGAACGCTTCATGCGCGATTCCGACTCGCACTTGGCCGATTTTTTTTATTTGAATTTTTGTTTAGTCGTATTGACAGTACGCTTTTTTATGTGAAAAGTTGTCAAGCGAGCAGGCAGTTCACCTGATGTTAAGTGAATACCGCCGCTCCTGGACATCTGCTACACCCGAGGGTTACAGATGCGTTAACAACCTTTTGAAGATTGAGCTCCGGCTACCTCACTCACCAGGCGAAAGTATTTATTATACATCCACTTTACGCCGGTCTTCTGTGAGGTCGTGGTACTCACCCGGACGAGCCTGCCCATTTTTTAGACATATGAATTATACTCCAAGTAAAAGTTTGATTTTTTCAATTTGTCTCCTTTTTATTTTTGTTGTCATTATATTATCTTCTCTCATCACTTAGTAACCAACAGCGTCATAAAATAGCTCACATTATATTACATATCTTTTGTGTCAGATTCCCACGGCGTACTTAAATACCTTTTAGTAGGTACCTACTGCACTTAAGTAATTTGATGTCATGTGTAACATACACATGACATCAAATTACTTAATTGGGTGACTCATGAGGCACCCAAATAGCTTTTTTGTGTACCCGGCTTTTTTCAAAAGCGCCAAAACTGTTTTGTGGTCAATTTCCAGTTCTTCAGCTACATCGAAACTACTGATATCCCGATCTTGCTCCACTTTTTCAAAAAAGGCGACCCAGAGCGAGCGAGCGACATCAAAATTTCCGGATTGAAAACGCTTAGACCAAATTTGTCACAGACACTGCACTAGGTCTATAAATATCGCAAATTTTTTTGCGGCTTGCGTTGCATTTATAGCTTTTTTGTAGTAATATTTTAAAATGTATCGAATTTCTTCATTAGAATCACTCACCTTAACAGTAAGAAAAACAAATGAAAATCACACATTTTCCTAATTTGAATTTGGAATCTTTTTTAAAATTTAAACTTTTTAATGATACCTAAACCAGCCAGATACAAATGGTATAGCCAAAGAGATTATATCACAAGTGCATACATACTATTTGCGAAAAGAGTTTTTCCCCAACCTAATATGTACCGTGTATACATCCATATGCATTTAGTAAAAAGCGATTATTTTAATTTTACAAACAGACACTCCAATTTTATTTATCTGTATAGATGTGACACGTGACGCAGGATTCATTCATAGGTATGTGGTTGTTTCCCCTCCGACCGGGTTCCCGCCTTGACGTGGCGGAGGGGCTGTTACTAAACAGTCGCTTGGTCACCCAAGGCGAAGCTAAGAGGAAACCACACTGGGCCGGCCTATGGTGTAAGGCCGGCCCGAGAGGGCCGCTCCGAGTGGGCTGGATGCGTGCTGTAGGGTGCAGGAGACAGGTCGAGGGTGGTAGAGGTGGAGCCACTCATCCTGTCTTCTGCTACCGAGGAGGAGTCGCGGGGGAAGAGGTGTGTCGGTCGGCCGCTTTCCCTACCCTCCGCGGCCGAAACGTGGTGAGCGGCGGAGCCACAGACTAGGTCCGCCGCTGGGAGCTGGGAGACTTGCTGCTTATTTGCACTGGCTCTCCTGGCTCCCATAGCCCCGGTCAACGAACTCGGGGGAGTTCGTTGGGCTTGCAAATAGGACCGAGTAGGAAGGCGCGCTAGTTGCTCCCCGGGAGGGGGCTGCTGAAGCAGCCAGCGAGGGCAGGGCGGAAGTGTGCGAAAGCGTACACGTAACTATGCCAATATGCGCCTAGGTGGAACATCGTGGGGGTTTTAGTCGGTGCGAGTCCGACATAACCCGCTCGTGACCCTGCGAGGGCGGGTTTGCGTATGCATTTCCCCCACGTAAACAAAAAAAAGGTATGTGAAAAAAAAGGTTTTTATTTGAAAAATGGCAGTTAAGTACTGTCGGTGTCGGTGACTACAATATTTTTGAATTACTTGACACGTCCCGGTGTTAAAAAGAAGCTTCTTCGCTCTTCGCTCGCAGTTCGCTTTAGAAGTATTGATTCATGATATTGAATTTCGTCTTACGGTCCGCATTTGATTATACAGGTGGACTTTAACTTTACGAGGTCAGGCCACGCAGCACCTTCTAGTTATTGTTCCACGATTGGACAGACTCGTCCGTGTATGTAGCATAACCTCACAGGAGACCGGCGTGAAGTGGCAGTATTATACTTTCGCGTTTCGTCTGGTGATTGAGATAACCGGGGCCAAAATTTAAATGGTTGTCAACGCATCAACAATCCATTGGGTATTGGAGATGTCCATGGGCGGCAGTAAATATTTAACATTAGGTGAATCACCTACTTGAAAACCACATAAAAATGTACTTAAAAAAAAACTTCACTTACAAATTAGTTGTCCTCGTCATCGATTAACAAATTCAAAACTACAATCTGACCGATGTAATTATTTTTTTTACTTATTTATGCATAGACAAGATTAAATCCCTGTTTGAATACACAATATTACTTTGTTACTGAAAGTTCCGTATGTTGCTGTGATGTTTAACTGATTTTAATGAAACCTTGAGTGCACTCGCTTAGTCGCAACGCGTTCTGTGTTTTTGTTTCTTTATCTTTATTAAATAATTTCCGCTTTCAGTCCATACACTTTTAAAGCTTTATCGAACGCAGAACTCATGGGGAAGATTCCACGGGCTTAATACGACTCTAGGGTAGAGTAGCACAAGTGCTCGTACAAGGTTTTGTTCGAACTGCAGGCCTAATGGCCATTGACTACGTCAATCGTTAACTGGGAGTAGTAGAAGAAGGAAAGTGGTTGTACGTCGTTCAATTATACAACGGCGAAATTAGTATCCCAAGCATTGTATCTATATTAGAAAAGCAGTAAGAACGCATGCGGTTTACCAATGTGGGCCAAACTACCCATTCACCTAACTGCAGCGTTATGTTAGACACATACAGACAGATAGATATCTGTCTGTATCCGTCTGAATCTCTATAGATAAAAATGAATCGCTGAATGTGTTGCTAAGCGCAAATCTCGAGAACAGCTGAACCGATTTCGCTTATTCTTTTTTTATAATATTCCTTGAAATACAAGGATGGTTCTTACGGAGAGAAAATTTTTAAAATTTGCCTGAAAAAATCTAAAAACAACGCTTTTCTATATTCCCGTACCAAAGATTCGTAATCATACTTAAAAGTCAATTTGAACTTTAATACCGTACCGTAAAGTTTAAGTGATAGTGGAGCGGAAACAAGTGAGTGACTGTGGTAAAATGTCACTTGATATGTAAACGTCTCTTTGCTGTGAATCACTACATAGTATAAAACAAAGTCGTCCCGCTGTCTGTATGTCCCTATGTATGCTTAGATTGAGATATATTAGAGATGTATGCTTTAAAACTACGCAACGGATCTTGATGCGGTTTTTTTTACTAGATAGAGTGATTCAAGCGGAAAGTTCATATGTATAAAACGTTGAACATTGAAACGTATAAGTTTTATAATAAAAATGTAACTTGTCTTTGTCTGTACATAGAAGACATTTGAGAAAAACTATTATTAAAGGTCCCCCTTTATCAACCCAAAACATTGGTTGTAAAAATTGTTGTCTGTGTATCTGTGCTTTTGTGCAACTTTAACTAATGCATTGTAGTATTTCACTTAACATTTAGTGTTAGTTTTATTCAAATCGGTTCCTAAATAAAAAAGTTATATCAACTTAAAAAAAGTAATAGCTACACCTGAATTGGATGAAACTATAGTTAACTATAATTATATTATGGTCTGTAAAATGATAATGATTGTTAGATTATATAAATTTAAAAACCAGCCAAGAGCGAGTCGCAATTGTGCACGAAGGGCTCCATACCATAATCTATAAAAAAGGCAAAAAAATCATGTCAGTTGTAAGAGAAAAAAAATTATTCTGATTTTTTTATTAGTTGTTATAGCGTCAACAGAAATACATTAGTTTTGCCTTTGGGAAATAATTACTATGGATCACACAAATAATTGTCCCGTGTGAGAATCGAACCCACGCCGAAGGCAATGCCTTGAGAACTGCGCCATGGCCAGTGATCAGGCGAATGGTATTCGCGAAGTCAACACAATTTTGTCTGCCACACCCAGTGACGATTTGCTAGAATTGTGCCTTTGTAGAAAAGTTACGTTTATATGAAGTTGAAAATGGAAGCCGCCATTACACAATTTTACACCGACATTGCGCATACCTATATGCAGAAAGGCCACTTGCAGTAAGCGAACTTAAGAACTCAACCGGCAAATTTGTGGCTTGGTCATTGCTTGCAGTGAGCATAATGAAGCTAAGAATTTTCCTGGTGATATCAGGATAATTCTTGGTTATGTGAACACTTGAAAGTTCTCCAAATACTGAACTTATCAGTTTGTTTTCGGAGAAAACGACTGTACCAAGTATGTCCGGAAGAGATACCTCCCGTTTTTTCTCTGAAAGGATATCCTTTTTGCCTTCTCAAATTTTAACAGAACATCGGAAAATCAGAGATCAGCGTAAAGTGGAAGTATGACAAATACTTTCGCGTTTCGACTGGTGAGTGAGGTAGCCGGAGCCCAATTTTCAAAAGGTTGTCAACGCATCTGTAACCCTCGGGTGTGGCAGATGTCCATGGGCGGCGGTATTCACTTAACATCAGGTGAACCGTCTGCTCGTTTGACAACTTTTCGCATAAAAAAAAAAAAAAAAAAAAAAAAATTCTTGGGCATGTAAACGGAGTCCGCACATTAACTGTAAACCGTAACTTATGTTTTTCAGGTCAGAAATAAGAACGCTTCTGTGAGGCATTTATTTCTTCGCTTTAATCCCCTGAGTAATGAGAGGAAGAGTTTTGAAAACCTCCAGAGAAAACAACTGTAACGCTCCCCATTGGCCTTTCATCTCGGTGTATGTACTGTAGTGTTCTGTCAACGGCCTCTACGGGTGCTCAGTCAAAATTCACTCTCAGTTTACTTTTTTACTTTACTTTAATGTCTATATTATAGCTATAACTAATTCTAATTGCGAGATAATGAATGGCGTCTTGGCGAAATAGGTATCAGCACTAAGTCGTGTTTGCTTTTCATTAGATTGTTGAGATCCAATCGTTCTCATTCTTTTTAATTCTATCCAGGCATTTTTGTAATAAATACTATAAAAGATCGATACCGAATTTAATAAATCAAAATCAATATAATAATCATAATAATCAAAAATCATGATTTGTTATAATTTTTATAGAATATCGCCTATGCAAAGAAGCCAGAGGCGAAAGGCGAGCAACGCTACTAAAAAAAACCCACTAATTTGCAGCCCCCTACATTTGGCCCCGCCCCGCCAAAGTACGCGGCCTATGGAGAAATTCACCACTGTTCGTAACAACAAAAAAGTAAAACCTAAAGTAACAGCCTTTAAATGTCCCACTGCAGGGCGAGGCTTCCTCATTACAGAGGGTATCAGGGCATAGTCCACCAAGCGGCCCCACTACGGATTGGCGTACTTCACATACTTTAAAAAATTTTTTTTCGTTATTATTTCGAAAACATGCAGGCATCGTGCGATGTTTTCCTTCACTGTTGAGCACGTCAAGCACTTAAAATTAAAAATTTCATTGTCACCGGGGATCGAACTCAGGTTGTTCGAGTATATTGAATTAAAAGGGAGCGCCCGGACAAAGAGCTAACTAACAGCCTAACAATTAACCAAATCGCAAAGCAAAATAAAAAACATCCGTATACCGAACAAAACTAATATCGAACCTATCATATAAATCTCAATCGAAGAAATTCGCATTATTATTATTTAAACGCAAATGGTCGGCGCTTGTCCCATAGCTTGTGGAAATATAGCGCATTTTAGGAATTTAACAACGCCATCTAGTTTCTCACGGGAACTATATTCTTATCTTCTTAACATAACTTAAATACTTATATTGTTAAATCAAACTTTTTTTTATTATGAAACTGAAAATTCAAGTCATCGTGATGAAAATGTTATCACTGATAGCACATTTTTATGGAAGGTAATTTTTTTGCATTGGGAGCTATGTCATTTAAAAAATTTGAAAACGGTCCCAATTGATCCAGTAGCTAATAACGTATATATTCTGTTTAAGTAAACTAATTACGATCAAACGATACTTAAATATTGCGAGTAAGTTGTACTGTCAACCTGTCAAAAACCCCGTTAAAATCGATCCTATGGTTTGTGAGTATTCACATAACTTTTTTTAGTGAACCAATTGCAATAAAACAAAGCTTTAATGTTGCACAGAATTAATCTTTAATACTTTCAAAAACACCATACAAATTAGTCCAGTAGTAGGATAACTAAACTGACCATACGTCCCGTTTTGAAAGGGACTGTCCCTTTTCTCGGACAGCTGACCCTTTGTTCCCGAACAAATCTTCGGGACGCAAAATTGTCCCGTTTTCCGAAACCGCGCGAAATTTTAACAAACAATATTTCAACGAAATTTTAACATCAGGCATGATCATGAGCAGCACGGAGCCGCGATCGGTTATTCCCGGTTATTCTTCGCATGCACGCGCTGTCGTTTACCTAGTAACGCGGTGAGGAGGAGAGGGAAGGGGGCATTTGTTTCTTTCAATAGGCTAGCCACGCGCGTGTATTCGGACTTCTTTATGTTTTTGTGTAATGTTCATTAAATAGTTTTGTAAATAATTTGAAGTTTTGTTGTTTTGAAATTTTTCCCATAGTTATGCCGAAACCTAAGTGTTCATTTAATGTCGACCTACAAACAAAATACCCATTTATTAAGCAAATGAACACTCCATCGGATGTCAGATGCGAAAAGTGTCGCACAGTTTAGTGTTTCCCATAGTGGTGCTGGTTATATTGAACAGCTCCAGTTCTGAAAGCGATGCTGATAACAAAGTTCAATATAAAAGAAGAAAAAAGTGGTCAGTTTAAGGATAACTATGATAACTGTTTGCGACTGCACTGCTTTAATTTTAAAACTCCCATATCTCCCGTTTGAGTGAACTGATTGAGATGAAATAAAGCCTAGACGTTGCCCCATGCTTTGCTTAATTACCCACTGGGTAATTAAGCAAAAAACCGATAAGAATCCGATACGTAGTTTTCAATTTTATCGCGAACAGACAGACAGACAAAAATTCCAAAAATGGTTCTTATGTTTCCTATAACGCTTTTTACGATACCCTTTTTTATTTTTTCATAAATATATTCAATGTTTCACGCCGATTCTACTGTTTTATTATAGTGTAGACGTGTCATTAGTTCCTATTACTTTTATTCAACAACGTGATTATGTGATTCTTTAAGAATACAAAATATTATCAGAAAAGTGAACTTTATTTGTTTTTTATCAGTATGTAAAATATTCAAATAGGTAAAGTGAAACTTTTTCAAATGTATAAAAATAACTTAAACATGTTACTTATGATGCAAACGCTTCAGTTAATAAATCTCATGGCAAAGGGCGTGGATTTTCACGAAAATTGAGGTGATAATTAGTGTAGAACGACCATTTAATTAGCAAATCGTAATGGAGGGGACATATTTATAAAATTACATTACATTGTAGCATATATCAGTAGTTACAATCCGATTAAGCAACAAGTAACTCGGAACTATGGCGCCAAATTACATTATAGCGAGGAGGAAATATGATTTTATGAGGTAAGATTACTCTAACTAGCAGTGGTAGCATAAATCAACATAATACTTTTATGAACTTCACATTTTAAACAGTAATTTTAACGTCCATCTCATCCTTTAAACGAGCAATTCTTGTATATATACATATATATAATCGGAATCTCGGAAACGGCTCCAGCGATTTTCATGAAATTTAATATGTGCGTATATTCGGGGGTGAAAAATCGATTTAGCTAGGTTTCATTTTTAGAAAATTTCCTTTTATCCCTATTTTCAGGGAATGAAAAATATCATTCGAATATGACAGTAAATTTCGCCGCAAAAAAAAATGTTATAATAGCTCGGTCGGTAATCGGGCGGCCCCGAATCAGACGGCCGGGGTTCATATCACGATCATTTACACACTTATTTTTTCTACTTTTTTTTCTATACTAGATCATTTTCTTTATTTTTTATTTTTTTTATTTCAAAAATACATGATTTACAACAAAAACAGAGCAAAGCTCGGTCCTCCAAGTACTATTCTTTAAACGATCAAGATATTATGTAAAGAAGATATTTTGATGTTGAAATAAATAATTTTAATAGTTAACTTAAGTCATATTTTATTATTAATAAGACTTTCATCAATATATCAACCATTTTCTTGATGAATAAAATAACTTTATCTAGTACAATACTAAAATATAAAAGAAAAAAACATTGTAAAGATCGTAAATAACATTATACCTAAATAGCTTTTGATGTCCGCAATATTGCAATGAACGAAATTTATTTCTTAACCTTGTCCATATATAACCAAATGATCATCCGATTGCAGAGAGCTACATTGTTTTAACAATATTACCATAATAATACATGTCCATGATTGTGGGCTTACACATTAAACTATTCACTTCAGTCATTCAGTAAATCGCAAGCGCAAAGCGACGTATCGCGGTCAACACGGCGCATGCGCAGCTCATGCCCCCCTTCCTGTGCTCTCCCCACTCCGCACTGGCAGAATCACACTTTGTTTACCAATTGCTGCGATTGACGAGATAGTCGGTCGGTCGACCAAACCGACTTCACTCGCTCGCGTCCGTTCGTTACTCACTCGTCGGTTGCGACCAACGCGACATCAATCATCGCGTTATGACCCTGTGACGTGATATCATGAGTAAAGCCGATACTTCGGCGGAGGCGGCCTCGCCAACTGTGGCGGTCCACGTGGACCAGTACAATGAGCCAGACGAGGAGCACACCAAGCTCCTTGATCCGACATCGCCCACACCGACGGTAACGCCATCTGGGCAAATACGGAAAGTAAAGAGCTTCACAGATACACACAGAATCCGCGATGTGAGTGCAGCTTCTGGTGCAGCATCAGCCCGATGTCTCCGTCCTTACGAGCAAGTGACTCCGTATCCCGAAGGTTCTGAAAGTGGAACTAACCAATATGGAGCACCGTCTGTTAGATCCCTCGCGTCCATCGGTATGGGTTGCACAGACGGTCGAAAAATGGTTATCAGAAGAGTGCCGACTTCGCCTACAGAGTTGTTCCATTTAGTACGTCCTCCTACGTGAGTAGTTGCGCGGATATTTCATATTACATGTTGCTATTATTATTCAATTGTCTTAACCACCATTCCTAAATTCTCAAGACATCGCCCTTCTAAGACAATCGTTTTAATTTAGTTTGTATGGTGATATTAAATATAAATAGGTACTTTGCTGTATCAAAATTTACAATACACGGTGAGTAATACTTTTAACTCCACACCTACACTGTAAAATAATAATTTCCTTGATAAAGCGTTTCTGTGATAAAACAACTAGTTCTAATAACATAACCTAACAATGTCGTACCTTAATTTTATGTAGCAAATATGATTTAGACAGAGCTGAATAGTACGTTTTTGAAGAGAAATTGAAATTGAAATTTGAGAAATTAAAAAATTAGTGAATTATAAACACAACTAATAGCAATTTACAGTTATTTAAAAGGTTATAGTGATTTAAGCGCAATATTCATAGTTGCAATACTAAGGTGTGTCCTACACATTTTTAAACAAATTGAATAAGCAACCTTGAACCAGCTCAGTCGCTTACAATTAGAACTACTATAAGATAATAATTGTTACAGTAGTCGATATTTTTTATATTTTCGCTGTTTCACTACGTCAATTAATAAATAACTCTCGAAGTATTTAGTTTAGTTTACTCTGATGAAAACAAATTAGATTGAAATTGATCTCAAAATGTTGGGACTAATATATAGTATATTATATATATAATCAATTTATTTATTTATTACTACACAATTACTTTTAACGGTTACTACTTTTATACATTAAGCCTTAATGCTTAATGCATTTCATTTAAACAACTTTACTTGGGAAGAGATTCAAGTAGAGTTTTTTTTAAAATATAACAATGCCAATCGATGCCATGCTTTTAGTTCAAAGTAGTAAATAAATGAAAAATTGCATAGAAATAAATTAACTTGAATTTAAATAAATAACAATCAAAAATATTTCAAAATTAAAATTTAATAATTTGTTTCTTTTAATCAAAATAAAACTATTCACTACTTAATACCAACACTAAGGCATAATCGCACTTAATGATATGGAGTATATTCTTGATTATGCAAAAAAATACTTCGAGATTCAAGGGAGCAATCCCGTCGTCATTCGCAACAAAGGATGGGCAAATTTATAAACGAGACTCGGCAGGATGAAGACCGGTTCGACCGTTCACATCCTTTCTTTCTAAGCGGTGATAAATTAATGCTTATATAGTTCTCCTTAATGTTACGGGAAGCGATAAATTAATCTATTGAATTTATTATTATAATACTACTTTAACGGACACCATAAATACTAACTCATAAATTAAATATATGTTTAGAATTTATAAATAAATACTGTATAATACCAACTACTTCTTAAAACTCATGAGTGTATTCATTGATACATTAAACTTATCCTTTAAACGAGCTATGTATATATATATATATATATATATATATATATATATATATATATATATATATATATATATAGTCGGAATCTCGGAAACGGCTCCAGCGATTTTCATGAAATTTAGTATGTGCATAGATTCGGGGACGAAAAGTCGATCTAGCTAGGTTTCACTTTTAGAAAATGTCCTTTTATCCCTGTTTTTAGGGAATGAAAAATATCATTCGAATATGACAGTAAATTTCGCCGCAAAATAAAATGTTATAATAGCTCGGTCGGTAATCGGGCGGCCCCAAAACAGACGGCCGCGGTTCGTATCACGATCATTTACATACCTTTGTTTTTACTTTTTTTTTCTATACCAGATCATTTTCTTTTTTTTTATTTTTTTATTTCCAAAATACATGATTTACCAAAAAAAAACCGAGCAATGCTCGATCCTCCAGGTACTTTTATTAAATTGGGGTTAAAATGCCTTTACTTATAACAATCGAACTTTTCAAGCATAATCTACATAACTATATACCTATTTTATAGGCGTAAATGCTTATTATTTTTCGTGTGAACCTAAACCTACGTACGTATGTATACATACGTTCAAAAAGTCCAGTTTTAATATTTCGATGAATACAAAATATTAAAAATCAATATTTTCACTTTGTGTTGACTGTATTTAAATCTATATAGAAAAATCAAGGATATTAGTTTAAAACAAATTAAAAATTTTATTTGTAAATTATCTGTAATACTAGATTTATTTCCAACATATTAAAAAAAAATCATACAAATTTATGAAAACGTGCAAAGAAAGGTAATTGGGTAAAAAATGTTTGTTTTTCGAAATTATACATTTTTCATAACAAACGTAAAAGAATAAAGCAGTCGCCGTGACTAAATTTGGAAGTCGTAAGATTTGAAAACATTATTTGATTAAAATTTTTCCGATATATTCCGAAATCATCATTCTTAACATTAATTTAATAGTATTTACTTTATTGTACACATGGAAATACACAAAAAGAAAATACAGTAAAAAATGTACATATAGGCAGCCTTATCGATTATAGTTAATTTTAATAGTATATTGATTGTTTTCCATATAATATAAAATGCTAGTTAATAACTGTTATTCCTACATAATTTTTGTAGTGTTAACATTGGTCAGATAATTTTGTAAGGGTTTTATTAATTCAGAGTTATGTTAGTAGTTATCTCTTTATGAAACATGTATTGTACATTTTTAAAACTGAGCTAATGTTATGAATACTTACTTACAACAACTATTTCGATATTTTCGTAAATTTTCGTGGAATAACAGGAGGTAATAATGACATTTAGAATATTGACATAAGGGTTTTTGTACTAACAGATTCTTCATATAAATCTGATTAACTCTCACTTCTCAAAAACCGAAACATTATTTTGATCTTTTTTCAATAGAGCATATTAATAGATGGCCCGCACTCGACCTCTTCATGCTGACGTTATTCAGTTAAGAAATCATTACATTTTTTGTAATTTTTTGAAACTGTTTCAAGTATTGGCCGTTACTAACATGACATGTAACGAATTTTGATTTATCTACCTATTTATTTATTTACTTTGGTGACAAACAGGGAAAAAAAACAAAAACAAACAATTAACATAAATCGTGCAGATATTTACTGCTTGCTAGAGTACCTGTATTGCAAAAGTAAAATTATTTACCAAGGACGCTATACATACATAGTTGACTATCTTATTATAAGGCACGTCACATACTAGTGAGAATAGAATTCTGTATCTAGACATAATAGCCGCACAGCAAAGTTCTAGTGTATAATAAATAAAAAATTTCGAGTAGTCAAGTTTTACATAACTTTTTCCTATTCAATTTCAAAAATGCATACGGATCTAACCGTATTATCTGAGAGAACGATATGTGATCAACACAAAATCCTTAAATCCTAAAAGCTTAGATTCACAAGGAATTTTGGCTGTCTTGACCTTCACTCCGGGAGGCGATAAAACGTTGCATGGCGTTATCTACTCCCGCATATCTCACACAACACAGATACACGATTGATGGTGCGCCAGCTCTTATCGCCGCCTATTTGATAATGATTTTAAAATACGTTTACGTACTTACTCGCTGACAGCTAAGGATTACCTATTATTCTTCCAATGGCTCTAAAATGTTTTTTTTACTTCGAAGGTGAGATACGATTCAGAAGATGATTTTTTTATCATACTAAAATAATAATCTATCTGCCACAATCTAGTAAAAATGGATATAATGTAAAATCTATATTCTATTATTCACCAAAATCAAAATCATGCTTTCTTTTATCCTTTATGTAATAATAATTAATTAATAACAGTTATACACCTGGCAGGCTTTCATTATTAAAGTAAACAGAAACAAATATGTATATAATCATTATTTTACAGATATTTTTTATTATTTATTAAGATTCTCTCAAAATTGTACCACACACTTTTACAACGGAGCTGAAGAAAAACTTCTACTGGAATGATGACTAAAGAGTTTTAAAATTTAGTTTATGCTACCGTAACATGTAGGGAGTTGTAACAGATAATTCAATTTATAATGGAAAGTCTGTCTAATATGTTCAGTAGATAAAAAATCTTAATATTGTGGTCACCTAGACCGATACTCTATATCCATTAAGCTTTAACGACCTTCCTTTAATCTAATGCATGTAATGTCATCTATCTTTAATCCAAACAACTTTTAATGATAATGAAAGTCTTTCGTTTACAGACAACTGAACGGAATTTTTAGTATACTTTACAGTTACTTACGGAATTTTACAGAAGAAGTGGACGTATTCTACTTAAATTATTTTAATTACATTATCTTATTTATACAACTCTTATTGAAATAGGTTTTGAAACAGGAAATTATTCCGGATAATTTTATCCCCGGAATAGAGTAGTAAAGTAGTAAAAGAATCAAAATGACTTTTTTTTTTCATATAAGAAGGTGTCACCTGATGTTAAGTGATAACCGCCGCCCATGGACATTTGCAACACCCGTAGGGTTGCAGATGCGTTGCCACTGTAATAAAGTGGGTCCCCGGCCCCGGCTACCCCGCTAACCAGACAAACTCAGAAGTATGTATATATGACACTTCAACTTCACGCCGGCCTTCTGTGAGGTCGTGGTACTTATCCGGACCCTGCCCATTCGTGCAATAGATCACTCTTGCGTGGCCCTACCGCAATTTGTATTTATTTTTTTTAATCATGTGATTATTATTATATTAAATATTTCTTTACATTATACATTTTTTGATATATTAACATTCAATAAGTAACCCATAGTTTATCCAAGATCTATTTTTTTTTCTACCAGAGAAAGAAATTACTTTATAAGAGCGCTACTGGAATTTTAAAAAGTTTTATTCCTGTTTCTTTTGATTTTTCTTAGTATGCAATAAATAAAGTATCTATCAAATTCCTTTCTTGGTTTTAATTTTTTCATATCAACAATTGTAAATAATGAGGCGAAATATTAAAAAAAAATACCAAGACTTTATATCATCATGTTCATCGCTTCAAAAATAACTGTATAGTGTTGCCACCAAAACTTAACGGTTGTTAATATACAAAATATTGAATATTAAACTTTTTTTTAAATTAACTTTTATTCTCCCATATTAACTTTCATTTGCGTAAGACGAATGAAAATCCGTAATTTTAGCTTATATTAATAATAATAGGATAAACAAAATATTCTATTTTTCTTAACGTTGCTTTATAAAATATATTATGACCTCTTAATTGATAGACCCCCAGATGAGGATACGGCATCACACGAAAGCGACTGCAACGAAGAAGAGGAAGATGACGAGACAGTACACCTAAAGCCCCGACGACCTTTTTGGGCTAATAAAATACAGTTCGTATTGGCCTGCGTCGGTTACTCCGTTGGGCTAGGCAATGTTTGGCGCTTCCCATATTTATGCTACAAAAGTGGTGGCGGTAAGAATATCTTACTTATTTCCCAGTATCACTCCAAAAACAGATGTATAGGGTTTATTTTCATTTTTAGATGAAGTATGAAGAAAAACTAATTATATATGTGTATACAGCGTTCAGGATTTATACCTGACTGTAAAATATATTTATTATTCATATATTTGACTGTCGTTTAAAATTTTAGATACTGATAAATTATTTATTTTATTTAGGCGAATATTATACCTTAGTAAAATACAACTAGTATTTAATCGAGCTTTAGATAAATTAAGGAATAAAAATGTTTACCAATACTTCTCATTGTTGCATAATTATACTTACGAGTTATTATTATACACTAATACTTTATGCCAGCACCAAAATCGTGAGTTCAATTAATTTAAACCCGTGTATGCACAGTTAAATTATTTGAAATTAAATTAAGCACGAAAATGAGCCGTGATAGCTCAGTGTCCGGGCGCTCGCGTATAATTCAATGTACTCGAGCAACCCGAGTTCGATTCCCGGTGCCGGCACCAATGAAGTTTTTAACTTTAAGTGCTGACTTATCACGTACTACGCGGTAAAGGAAAACATCGTGAGGAAACCTGCATATTTTCGAAATAATAACAAAAAAATATATTTCGAAGATATGTGAAGTCCGCCGCATGGTGGACTATGCCCTGATACCCTCTGTATAGAGGAGGCCTTTGCCCAGCAGTGGGACATGTATAGGCTGTTACTTTACCTTACCTTTACGAAAATATCGGAATCTGAAACTTCATTCGATCTTAATTTTTATCTATAACTTCCGAACCACACCCAAATTAAAATATAGAATCATGATACATAAATTTGCAATACTTAGTCGACAAAACTTTATTTACATGCTTTTGTGTGAATTTAAATATTAACATCTTCACAAATCACTAAACAAAATTCTCAGTTAGAAGTTCCATAATAACTCACGATTATAGGTATCAATGCACGCCATGGGGAAGTACTTTTGACATTAAAATTACATTATTTGTGTTCAATGATTCGTAATTTACAACGCTTTGGATTTAAAGCTCAATATCTATCATTTCAAAAAACAAATACGTAGGAAATCACTTTATATGTGTACTTTTACCAATATCCTGAGTAAGAAATGCACCTCATTTTTTTAATGATAAGTATTAGGTAACAGTAATTATTATTAAACATATAAACAATTGTTTGTGTCTTAGATCTATGTTGTATCATTCAACAAAAAAAAACCGGTATCTAGACGTGACTTTTTCTTGCCCGTTGTAATACCGTAATACAGCTCCAATTGTATCCTTGATATCAACGAATTGACCTACAGGAACTGTCGTAATTAAACTGGCTGTTTGCTGAAAAGATTATTTAGGCGTAGGTCTTAATCATTTGAGTCAGTTTATGACCACTAAGTACTCATTTCTAGGTAATGAAAACATTTGCAATCTATTTTTTATTGTTGCATGCTTGATGTATGTTTCGCCGATACTACTTATAGGTAAAAAAAATTATATCCGTATTTTTTTATCTAATCAATGGCTTAGTTATACAAAAAACACGTAATATCTATATCTACAGTTAATAACGACTGTATGTCATATCCGATTGAGAACAAAAAGGTATACGAAATACCTTTTTGTTCTCGGATATCCGGGTGCCTAGGAAATTATCAAATTTTTGGGACAAATCATTCGTGAATAATCTTTTCCTGGCAACGCATATGCACAGTGCTGTCTTAATATATTAATCATTCAACTTGATTTCTTTCGTTCTTATGCAACATATCTTTCAGCAATTTACAGAAAATTCTAAATATGGCTGGCTTGATTTGCAATTTTCACGATAAACGGTAACGTATCTCACCGATAGCGAGTGAAGTACAACGTTCTTGTATGTAAATTAATGACGTATAAATAAATCAAAGCAATAAATCATTTGATATCTCGAGTGGACGAATGCGCGGCGTGACGTATCAGTTTCCAGAAGGCATCGCCTGTAATTCACACCAGGCAGCGTTGTTGTCTCAGCGGGTTCCTGCCCATTTAGCGTCCCACGACACAAACAACTTTGGAACACGATTTTGTACCATGTTGGACTTTGGACTTATTGGACTTTTCATTTTATTTTATATGTTTAATTAAAATTTTATTAAAAGGTTTCATAAATAAAAATACATTTCTGTATTTAAAATCCGCATATCATTAAAAAACCGTATTTTAAGTATCTTTCGTGACAAGTAAAAAAGGTAAATTCTTTCGAATAGTCTCATGATAATCGTTGAGTAATTTTGGCATGAAAACAAACAAACTTACATGTACATTTATAATATTAGTAAGGATACTGTTTGCAACTAAAACCATTTTTGACGCACAGCTTAGTAAAATACTCTATGAAAATCATATAATAACCTAATAATCATATAGTTATAAATAATATAATGATAAAATAATTAATAATACAAAACCATTAAGGACCTGTTGTAACTATAGTTACATTTATCTATAACTCTGTGCCTCAGAGGCATACAATATTTTTCAAAATTATTTTTCTTCCACCATTAAAATCGCATAAGAACAAATTCTACACAATAGTATAAAGCATTAAGTCCTACGAAGCCTAATTAATAAAATATCCAATCGTAATCATAATGCATTCAATGATTCACTAAACAAATTTTTGCACCTCCTGTTGTCCTCAAAATTTGTGTTTTGGCGCATAATGCTGTATACCTCTAAGGTACATAATTTATATTTCTACACGAAAATTGCAGGTGCATTCCTGATACCCTACTTCATAATACTACTAGTGTGCGGCGTACCCATGCTCTTTATGGAATTAGCTGTGGGCCAATATACAGCACACGGCCCCATTGGTGCGCTATCACAAATATGTCCTCTATTTAAAGGTAACTAACTATTCAATATACCTGCTAATAATTTCTTCACGACTATGTCAAAATACCCAATATTCCATCGAACCATTGATGTCAGCTGACTGCAATCCAATCCAATCAAATAAAATAATTGTCTGTTTTAGGTGCGGGTCTTGCAAGCGTGATGATCTCCTTTTTAATGTCCACGTATTATGCAGTAATAATTGCCTGGGCCATATATTACTTCTTTACCTCCTTTAAATCAGAGGTACCATGGGCCAGTTGTTCTAACCGATGGAACACTGCACAATGTTGGGTTCCGTTCCATAATCATACCAAACCGAACGGATCGCAAACACCCACCGAACAGTTCTTTGAGTAAGTCACTGCTTTAAATCAGAGTTTATTGCAATAATATGACACACTTATACGGTACCACTTTACGGTGGTAGGGCCACGCAGCAGCCTCGGCTGTTGCACGAATGGGCAGGCTCGTCCGGGTAAGTACCACGACCTCACAGAAGACCACCGTAAAGTAGAAGTATGACAAATACTTTCGCGTTTCGTCTGGTGAGTGAGGTAGCCGGAGCCCAATTTTTATATTGCGGCGGTATTCACTTGCCATCAGGTGAACCGTCTGCTCGTTTGGCAACTATTCACAAAAAAAAAAGAGATGGTAGTCCAATTTCCATATAAATACTTTAAAATGTTTTTCTTATAAATTGTAAAAAATATCTGCCAAGTAAATTTACTTTTTTTTAGGAAAAAGGTTTTAAATATGAGTGATGGAATTGAATTTCCTGGTGGAATGAGATGGGAATTAGCGGCATGTTTAGTCTGCGCGTGGGTATTAGTGTACTTCGCACTTTGGAAAAGTATCAAGTCCTCTGCGAAAGTTCGTTATATCACCACTACGCTACCATTTCTCTTGATAATTGTCTTCCTTGGAAGATCTTTAACATTGGATGGCGCCGATAAAGGGCTCAGATTCTTCTTCAAACCGGACTGGGAACTACTTAAGCAATCAAGACCTTGGGTGAATGCCGCATCTCAAATTTTCAACTCAATCGGAATAGCTTTTGGTTCTATGATAATGTTCGCGTCGTACAACCGATTTGACAATAATTTTCTTCATGATACTGTAGCCGTATCTTTGGTAAATGCTATTACGAGCCTCATAGTGGGAATTTTTACATTTGCTACTATTGGAAATATAGCGTTCGAACAGAATACTGGCGTCAAAGACGTAATTGCCGACAGTAAGCATAACTATTAGATTAATATTAAGAATAATTTATTATAATAATAGTTAAGTTTCTGATTTATAATTTTTTTTAAGGTCCTGGTTTATTATTTGTCGTATATCCACAAGCAATAGCGAAGATGCCAGCGCCGCAATTATGGGCGGTATTATTCTTCTTTATGTTTTTATGTTTAGGTCTCAATAGCCAGGTATAAAAATATGGCCATATTTTTAATGTTTTTTTTTATCTAGTTTATAAAGTTTCATATATTTTTAATTCCAGTTTGCTATTGTTGAAGTTGTTGTAACATCCATACAAGACGGGTTTCCAGATATGATAAGAAAAAGGCTTGTATACCATGAACTGCTCGTCCTTTGTGTGTGCATGGTTTCATTAATATTTGGAATACCACACATAGTACGAAGCGGTATATATGTGTTTCAACTTATGGATTACTACGCAGCCTCACTTAGCATTACATATTTAGCCTTTTTTGAAGTTGTTGCCATTGCTTGGTTTTATGGAGTGGGGAGATTATCACGAAACATCAAACAAATGACAGGTACAAACTTAAAATGAAATTTTATACCTTTAAGTTCAATCGCTACCTTAAATTAAACACCTTTAATAATGAAACAGTGAAGTTAAAAAACACCAAAAGTAGTATAATTTCAAAAAGATGTTTTATTTGTATTTTTTCAAGATTTAACACATTAAAGATAGGTATGTGATAGTATATTACTAAAAGGATATTTGTCGACTAACTTCATGGTGTAAATTTCATCGCCCCATCTTAAAATGCCCCCGCATTGTAAAAACTCGCTCTCATCATTCATACGGGCCATAAGAAGTATAACTTCAATAATAACAGAAGTAAAAGTCTAGAACGATAAAGAAACGTAACCAAACTTAGAATTACCAAGAAAAATCATAGTTCGCGCCAATTTTTCTCAGAAAAATATTATTAAATCTTATAAAATAATAATAACTTTATTCAGAAAAAGCAAAATTTTAATTTCTTCCCATTAGGCAATGCCTGTCCCATGAGGGTTAGTTCTTGACGATTTCCAGTATTATGTTGCAGTTGTAGTAATTTAGATAAATACAATTTTAACTTATTTAAGAAAAAGTTTTGGTACCGTAAAAATTAAACAACATAACATACATCTTAAGAGTAGCCACTTTCACTCTTCAAATTATATAAGTTTTTTTTTATTTAGTTACAATTACAAAAGTTAAAAAAAATCTAAATTAAACAATTATACAGGATGGCTTTTCGAAGTGTATCCATTTTTTTTTAAATTAAATAAATCATAAAAATGATAATATTTAAAATCATACACAGAATGTAATTGATTGTATTCATTTGAACTTATCTCAAAAAGTGCGTGATTTATACGCAACTTATTTTACGCGCGATCATTCATAACTAACACGCACACAAGTTCGTGCACAGTAAAATTTTGGTATTTTTTTTATGCAAAAAGTTGTCAAACAAGCAAACGGTTCACCCGATGTTAACTTAATACCGCCGCCCATGGACATTGATGACAACCTTTTGAAAATTGGGCTCCGGCTACCTCACTCACCAGACGAAACGCGAAAGTAATTGTCATACTTCCACTTTACGCTGGTTTTCTGCGAGGTCGTGGTACTTACCCGGACGGGCCTGCCCATTCGTACAACAGCCGAGGCTGCTGCGTGGCCCTACCACCGTAGTGCGTAGCCCTACCACCGTAAATATGAATGAATGACTACCGCATTGGCAATACGTTCTGTTTTTTAGGGAATAGAATGTCATTTTTTTGGAAAAAAAAACTTCAATAAACGATTATAATACCGAGTCTGAACCTCCTGTGTAAATTTGGGCACTTCTCAAAAATCTCCCTGTATTTGATGAATGATTTAAATGAATGGCAATGAAGTACACCAATGCGGGTAACTTTGATAAGTGTGAATATTCAGAAGTTGAAGGATGGATTATGTGTTCGTGTTTGTGTTAATATTACGTTTTAGGTTATTATTAATCTTGTTACATTTTAGTGAGTTTAGTTTGTCTTTAACTACATCCTCTGATTCACCGTACGTCTGAATCCAGGGTGAATTTGAGAGTAGCCTCTTTGTCAGTACCGTCTTTACTATAAGGGCACACGGGGCCTGTACCCCTGTCGTCACGGGAGCCCCACGTAGCCTAAGAATTCGCTTAAAATACAGAATTTTATTTTTATTTTTGGTAGATATGTTTCGGCAGAAGTTTATAGAATAAATAAAAAACATAACATAATAGCAGAAAAATGTTTATGTCATTCACTTTTTGCCATTCCATCTGGGCCCCAAAGGTTGCAATAGAGCTCCGATATGGCCTAAGACGGCATTGCTCTTTGTTTCCCTAACAGATTTTGTCTTAAGTCCGAATGTTTTTTTGCGTTTATTCATGCGATTATTTGACGCCCAATAGACGTTGTCCTGTACACGACTCCGAATTTAAATCCGACAACTAATGTACCATATATTTAATATAGAAATATATCGACGACCCGAATGGCGTTGTGGGTAGTGTACCTGCCTCCTGCGCCAGAGGGTGTGGGTTCGATCCCCACTACTGGATAAATATTGTGTGATGAACATAGTATTTTTTTAGTGTCTGGGTGTTAATATATGTATAATATGTATTTATTTACAAAAGAAAAGTATGTTTAAGTATGTTTATCAGTTTTCTAGTACCCATAGTACAAGCCTTGCTTAGTTTGGGACTAGAGAATGTTGTTTAAAATGTGTCCTAAAAATATTTTAAAAAATATTTAATATATTTAAAAAAAATGTATTGAACCGAATTGTGAATCTAAACCATTCTCGAATCGACCTGAAGACACACAAAAAGTTTCATTAAAATCGGTCCAGCCGTTTAGAAGGAGTTTAGTGGTGAATTTATAGACGACGGACATATTAACAGAGCATATGCAGAATTTGATTCTAAATTTTAATACAATACGTACTTTTGACTTCATTTTTTTTCTCAAAAACATTATTTTTAATTTTTTCAAACTTTATGGACACCTTAAGAAATTCCTGCCTTACCGTCTCAATATAATAACCTTTTGACGAGCTATAAAACTTTTCGCTGAACGCTTATTAAACCGCTTATCAATTAAAAATATTTTCTGGTTAATTCTTGTGAAAATAAAATATTAATATTTTTTCTGAATTATGGAAGGCTTAATTAAAATTATGTCAAAGTATGTACTTCGTCTAAAAAATCAGCTTGTATATAAAGATTAAGCTTGCGAAATCTGACAAAAAAGGCAGTTTCTAGGTGCATCGTGCGCCAAAAGGAAACTAAACTAAATGTAACTAATAACTATCACAATATAGATTACTCCTTCGTCTTTAAATGGTAGCTATTTTTTTATTCGAAAATTATGGTTAATAACATTGTAAATGACAATTATTGTTGCCACGTCACTTAAAATGGACGTTATCGTGTCTAGTTTAGGAACATTTTTCTCTTATTTAGTAACACTTTTCTTATTTAAAAATATTTTATGTAAGCAGACATGTTCAACTCAAAAAGGTAGCGAAAATAACTATCAAAATGTTTGGAATAGTCTCAGAAAAAAATAAAGATTACTGTCTAGGTCTTACGCGTGAATCTTAAGTAATCAAGATAAAGGTTATTTTACTGGTCACTTTCTTGATTTATTCCACAAAAATATGTAAAGAAATATTAGTCTGCGCTCGGCTGCCCTCGTGAGTGGATACTGTGTCGCTTGTAAACAGCAGCTCGTAAGGAAAAAGATCACTACGTACGTATACAAAATATTTGACGTAACCAAGTTGATACTTTACACATTCTGTCCGGACTACGGACGACGAGTATAATTTAATTCACACTTTGTCATATTTTTACTAGAAGTTAGTAGGGATTACAAATTCATATTTCGTCACGGACTTGATTGGGTGACCTGAAGATGTACTTCGAGAACTGCTACCAGAACTAACAGACGAGTAGAGTAGGGAGTACCGAGTTTTGGCTTGTTATGTTATACAGCGTGTCTTTACAATCGCGATAATAAATGAACACACATAAGTCTTTAAAATTAAACATTTAGTATTAAATATCTTTAGTATTAAACGTTTACATTCTTTAAACATCAATGTTTACAGAGTTATTAAATTTTCCAAAACAAAAAATTTAAGAACACCCTTACGTATAAAACTGTAACGTAAAGTTCATTTGTAAAGGTCACAAAGCATATGTATGGGTTGATTGAATTTAAAAGAGACAAAACATACTGTTAGAAGGAGAGGCTTGTAATGCGACGCCGTGGCAACGAATGAAAAAGTCTCAGAATTTATGAATCACTGAATTGTAGTTGTATAGAATGTTAAAAATTTTGTTTCTTTTTTACTTAATTAGTTTGTTTGAAAAATATTGGAACGAAGTTCCTTATCGCGCGTTGTGAAAGGGGGCTAGACGGAAAAAATTCTCACAAAAAGTTGTAACGACACTTTTTGCTATAGTAAGCTATTGTAAGCTGTGCAGCGTGCGCATTTTTCTCTGTCTGTTGTTTGTCTGTCAGACAGACAAACATGACAGTTTCTAGAGGAAGAATTTGATTTAAGAATTAACAAGCAGAATCAACAACAAAATATAATACTACCATTGATGCAGTTTTTGGAAGACATTTAAATAAAATAGAATCCCAAACATATATTTCCTACTTCAGTTACCACAAGCCAATTATTACTAAAATTGAGCCTACTGATTAAGTTTATATTACATTATATTTGTTAATAATAAAAAAAATATTATTATAACTTTAAAAAAAAATTATTACAATTCCTTCACTAATTAATCGAAAGGAACTTCGTTCCATCCGGGTGTCCCTTGACACCGCTCAATGTTTTTTTTTTAATTATGGATTTTTTTTAACCTTTGAACTTGATGGAGTGATCTGAAGGTGTAAAAATATAGTACAAAAGTTATTTAATATATGGAACGATATATTCTACCACAATTATGTGTATAAATATTTGTGAACCATGGTAATATTTATAGCATTATTTAGTTAGTTAATATAATTGAAATTAACATTATAATAATAAGTCAATAGGGTATAAATATAAGTCAATGTAATCACAAGCCAAAATAACGTTAAAATTATGAATTTTTAATATAATAAACATTCCAGATTACATAATTATAATATTGATGATTAAATGGTAAAACTTTCCATTAGCGTCCGGGCGTTTTTCGACCGAACAAAAATTTTATTCGGTAATGAAAAATCAATAATGAAATAAACTTTTGCGGTCGCTTATAATTTTCGAGAACAAAGAATATTTAAAACTTGTTATTTTCACTAAAGAAATCCGCCATGAATAGTTATAACTATAAAATGGGTCGCCGGGCTTGCTCCACTCATGGGCGACATGGTGAGAGTTCTGGTGAAGCGCATGGAAGAGTCAAATTTAAAAATTAAATAATATTTTTTCACTAGTTTTTTTTCTTCGTTTATTATTTCATTTTCAGTTCCTAGCTACTAGCCCGACTTCGTCGAAGTTAGTCGTTTTCAGAAAATGTTTTTTTTTTTTTAATTTAACATCAATATTATTGAATCATCAAAATGCATTCAGAATTTGTATGGTACAAAGTATTTTTCGTAATTCGTTGGCGAGTTTGACTATTTACTTACCTTAACTAATTATCTGCCTCCATAGCTACCTTCCTACGTACCCTACTACTACCTACCTATCAACCTATCAACCTACCTATTTGTACGCATAATCAAAAATGAATAAAACACGCTTTTTTTTCATAAAAATTAATTAAAAACAGAAAATCAAATTATAACCATAATTGATTAAAACGCATATCAACAACTACGTTCCTACTTACAAATCAAATGAAAAAATCATATCTAAATATATAAGAAAATTTCACTTTAAAAACTTGTTGAAAACATGAATTAAGGTAGTAAGCTTAAAAAGTAAATGACTGCAAATTAAATAAAAGTATCAAGTTGCGTCAGTTACATAAAATTTCACCGTTTTGCGCTTGTCGCTGTGTGCGTGAGCCGTGCATGTGTAATGGTACGCCTCTATACCTAAAATTAAAGCTTCTTGTATCTTTTATTAACTGATGTTTTTGCTTTCAGTCCCTAGACTATTAAAGCTTCATCTGACGCAGAATCGGTGGGCTAGCCAGAACCCACGTGTTTGGGCCCTCCGTTGTGGGTAGGGCTGCGCATGTGCTCATGCGGCATTTAACTATGGTGTGTCATCTAAGGGCCATCGAGGTTGCGGCTCGGACCGGGACCCCGATGGCCGTCAACTGTGTTTTTAGCTAATCGGTGGCTGGGGACAATCGCGGTCAACGTCGCTTTGGAGATGAGTAGTGAGTTGATTGAGATTTTTATGTGTGTAAAAGAGCGCCGTGTCATCCGCGAAAAGCGCTAGATTGACGTGGGGGTCTTTGGGTATGTCGCTCGTGTAGAGCGTAAAGAGTAAGGGTGAGAGGCAGGAGCCTTGTGGTCGCTAACCGTGAGGCGGCGGCTTGTGGAGAGGGTGCTCTCAACTTGATATCGAAAAGAGCGGTTCGACAGGAAGGCCCGGATGGTGTGTACGAGCCTATCTTGGACTTTGTGTGTGTACAGCTTTTAAAGCATGCCGTTGTGCTAAACCTTGTTGAATGCCTGTGCGACTTCGAAGAAAAGAGCCCCCGTGCTAATATGTTTCGGATGATTTAAGCGGCATAATTGGTCGGGACAGGAACGTCTAAGCTTGAAAGCCGAATTGTTCCGCCGGCAGAAAGCCGTTGGAAAATACATGATCTTTGAGCCTGTTTAATAATAGCCGCTCGTAGAGCTTCCCCAGGCAACTGAGAAGGCTGATAGAACGATAACTTGAGGGCTGATTATCGAGTTTATTTGGCTTGCGAATGCCGATAACCGCTTCTTTCCAGTCGTCCGGAAAGGAGCAACTGGAAATATGTTGTAGATGGTCGCCAGTAAACAGATAAGCGGCCCAGGGAGAGCTTTAAGAATTTTATTACTAATATTGTCTGGGGCCAGGGCGAATTTGGGTTTTAAATTTATAATAATGTATTGGACCTCTTCAGGGGTAACGAAATTTAAAGGATCGCCTTCCGGTGGGAGCGCAGCCCTAGTCTCGATTAATATAGAAGCGGGCCATTTCGTAAACACGTCCTTCAGGGCGAAGTCACTGAAAATCTAAATGTCGGCTTCGATTTCTACTTCGTAATTTGTTTCTCTATCGATTAATATATTTCTATACGAAAATCGAGCGTGCCTATAATGGCGGTGTCTAATGTATTTTTTTTTTATGTGGGCGTGACTGGTAATTTTTACTTGGTGATTCTAGTATCTGTTACGGTTCTATATCGTTTAAAGTATTTGTCTGTGAAAAAAATACGGATTTGTCCCTGTATAGACTTTTACAGTAAAATTGTATAAACGGTAACTATAATTATAGTATAAGTAGCTGTCTGAATGTATATAAAATTTGAAAAATTTACTTTAGAATTAAATAGAAATTTAAATATGTCTAAAAACGGTTTAAGTTTAGACTGAATAACCCTTTTCGGTCGGACACTTATATATGTGCATATATATGAATCATATTCAATACAAAATGTTAATATCTATTATAAAACACACATTTTTAATAGTGAAATTGTTGTAACATCCGCTTGGAACAATTAAAAAAAATAATTCCTCGGCTTCAGTCTAATGGTGAATGTTATCTCATTACTCATTGTTGTACTCATGCGTATGCATTACAATCACGATAACATCAAGTATTTAAAAAAGCGACATAATTCAATTGTAGTATAATAAAAGCAGAGTACCGAGTAATTTTGCCGCATTCAATAAAAAAATACAAGTACAGAGCATGTGACAATCCTGTTAAACTCTTTTTTTTTCTTTTAGGTCGTCGTCCTTCTCTATATTTCCGCTTTTGTTGGCTAGTGGCTTCACCAGCACTGCTATTAGCACTTTGGGTGGCCAGCCTTGTGGATTACACTCCGCCTACTTATCGACAATACCAATACCCTGCATGGGCGCAATTTCTTGGCTGGACAATAGCTTCAATGTCGTTACTATGTATTCCTGTATACGCCGTTGTCGTAATTATAAGATCACCAGGAAATAGTTGGAGAGAAGTACGCAGTAGATTTTAAACTAACTTAAATTACTAAAAAATACTTTACTAAATTTACAAAAAATAATAATTACTTACTAAAAAATTTAAATATTTACACATTTATTCCATCCAATTATGATACTACGCAGTATTAGTAATCTGCTCGGTATTATAAAAGTAAAGTAACAGCCTATACATGTTCCACTGCTGGGCAAAGGCCTCCTCTATACAGAGGGTATCAGGGCATATAGTCCACCCCACGCGGCCCCATTGCGGATTGGCGGACTTCACATATCTTCGATTTTGTTTTTGTTATTATTTCGAAAATATGCAGGTTTCCTCACGATGTTTTCCTTCACCGCGGAGCACGTGATAAGACAGCACTTAAAGTTAAAAACTTCATTGGTGCCGGCACCGGGGATCGAACTCAGGTTGCTTGAGTATATTGAAATAAAGGCGAGCGCCCGGACACTGAGCTATCACGGCTCAGTATTATAAGTTATCCCAATGTTCCTATTCAGTGAAGAAGTGGAGCTAGCGTTCTTTGCATCTTGCCGCGTGGAATAGATTTATTACATAACGTGTAATTTAATATTTATTAATTTGTAGAAAAATTACTAAAAGATTGTCGCCGCTGTAGCGATCAATCTTCATGCTACAAATTTTAATGTTTAATCTGAAGTGCAGAGATTGGCACTATAAAAAATTAAATTTCTAAAAAAAACGTGTAATTTAGTTTACATTTGCTCTATAATCCATAAAATAATATAAAACCTATCATAGTATAGTATATAATGGTTAAATAATTAAATATCCACTTCAGAATTAGGAACGTAATTTTTTGTGTAATTCTAAAATCATTTATGTTATTTTTACAGAAACTCCGTAATTCAATACGGCCAACATTTATGTGTGACTGTGGCGTCAACGGTTGCGACATATGCTGTTCGGAATCTGAACCCCCGGATGACAAAACAACCATAAACTAGTCGAATATTCATATTTCGTTTAGTCTTTACTTATACTCGCTTTTGTATATTGAAAGAGTACTCACCTTCCCACTTAATGATATCAAAAATAAACAAAACAAAAAGATAATAAAACGAGACAATTTCTATCATTATTTACAGTAAATAAATGTACTCGACCTAAAACTATGTTCTTGTAATAGTAACATAGTTTTCCATACTCGAATCCAATGGGTTATAGATATTACAAGTACAAACAGATCTGTTGGTCACATGGTGAGAATGTGATGATTATATAATATAAACTACATTAGATATGAACCGCGTTCTGGAGTACGAAAAAAATTTAAAATAATTGATATATATTACAGTTACAAATATGCTTTTGCCATAATAAAAAGTAAATTAATAACTAGTTATACCAGTGAAATTCTAAGATATCGTATAACTTTATAACTATGATGTAATCAATATTAAAAATACAGATATCACTGTGATTTACACATTCCAATATATGGTTACTTTTTAAAGATGTTATCTAAATAGAAATTAAGTATTTATTCTTAGAAAGTTACATTATTGTGACATAAGGATAGGGTTGCCATCATGCTATATATATTATATTGTATGCATATATATATATATATATATTATATTGTACTTTATTTTGGGTCTGCGTATTATACACTATAGAAAAATATATAGTACGTAACAATACTATATTAACGTTGGATGTATCAATCAATTTGAAGCAAAGCAATATGTTTTCTTAAGTAACAAATAAGTTTTTGTGTATTCTTTACTTTATGTATAACGTATTAACGTATATGTCTTTGAAGTGTACTACTTATATTTTCTTTAGCTTTTTTTGAAACGTAGTTAGGTACTATACTATAAATCAAATATATAACTGTGGTAGGGTCACGCAGCAGTCTTTCTTTTCCACCAATGCTCAACGGGGGAAGTACCTCATAGAAGACCCGCATGACGTGGAAGTGTTTCTGAGTTTCGTCTGGTAAGTGAGGTAACAGAGGTTCTCTTAATTAAAAGGTGGCAACAAATCCCCAATTCAACGAGTGTTGCAGATTTCCAACGGCATTAATAATTAATATGAAGAAAACAGTTCATAAACACGCTGACAACCTTGTCATATAAAAGATGTCATCCGACCAAACGTTGGCTCTTAACTATACAAAAATCAAACTGTTGTTTTTCGCATGACAGCAATATTAAGTGTGTAATGCCTACTTTGTTAAACAAAATACTGCTTCGCGATGGATTTTGGCTTCAATTATCGTAATGTTAGGTGAAAAATCAACTATAAGTTCTTTTTTATCAATGTATTGAATGAAAGTAAAATAACTAAATATTGTGAAATATGATAGGTGACTTGAAACGATTAAAAATATTTTAGGTGACCGAGATCACATATGACATAATGTATATTTTCAATATGTATATTATGAAAGTTATTATGAAAGTGTAAAATGTTTTGGAATCTGAGAGCAATAAAGGAAAATGAAACTTTTTTTCTATTATTAATATTTATATATATAGTTTCTTTACCTACCTATATAGACAATTCCTGTATATTTTTGTCTTCGGGACACAAAATTATCTCGTTTTCCGAAACCGCATTTTAAAACTACGCTCGTCAGACATGATTATGAGCTGAGCAGCGCGGAACCGCGATCGGTTATTAACCGCATGCACGCGCTCTCAGAGCTTACCGAGAGCGCGTGCAGATGTAACGCAGTGAGGAGGAGAGAGAAGGGGGCATTTGTTTCTTTCATTAGGCTAGCCACGCGCATGTATTCTTACTTCTTTATGTTTTTGTGTACTGTTCGTTAAATGGTTTTGTAGATAATTTGAAGTTCTTTTGTTTTGAAATTTTAGTTATGCCGAAACCCAAGTGTTCATTTAATGTCAACCTACAAACAAAATACCCATATAATAAGCAAATTAACGATCCTTCCATAGTATCAGTATATATAATGTACCCTGTGGCTCCTTCGGATGTCAAATGAGAAAAGTGTCGCACAGTTTAGTTTAGTGTTCCCCAAAGTGGTGCTGGTGATATTGAACAGCTCCAGTTCTGAAAGCGATGCTGATAACAAAGGTCAACATAAAAGAAACGTGCCAAATTTTATTTTGACTTAAAATCATCACCTTCTTGATTAAAACAAATTTGTTCCTCTGAGAAATATAAAAACATTTAAAAACATACGAATATTGTTTTAATAAAAAATTGTAAACTGATGAATTTTTCTTTGTATCTTTTAATTTTTTCGGAATAAAGAAAATTAAACAGTTATGTTTATTTTCATTATAAATCAATGTCCCGTTTTGAGTTAGAAAAAAAAGTGGTCCATTTATGTGTAACCAACACCAATGTCCACAAAATAATATTAAGTTAAATAAAAAGAGTAAGTTGGTCCTTAGCCTAATTTGCATATTACTTTATGTAATATGTATTAGGTGTAACCATTCTTTTAAATTGATTTTGTAAAAGTGAAAACAAATCACAATTTATAAATTTAGAGTTATATACAACTAGCACTCTATGAAGCAGTGCTCGCTGCTAAGCATTTGTTTGACACTTTTCAGTGTAGAATAATCGGGGTACTTGTGCATCGTGCATGGTAACTCTTCTTGGTACAATGTAAGCAATCTTGTTAGTGTTACATAATCCATATAACAGCATAGCCATAATAAGAGTGCGTCTGGTCTCCTAACTCAGTAACTCATATTTTTATAAAAACTGTACATAAGAAAGTGTGGCTTCAAAACATGGTGTGTAAGAACTTATTTTGTACAATTTCTAATCTTGAAATGTATTTTTCATAGAAGGGATTCCATATTGGAACAGCAAATTCGAATTGAGAATGAACCAAGGTTTTGTATAAGAGTAGGAAAGTCGAGGGCTTAAAGTCATTAGTGGAACGACTACATGACAAATCCAAAAAAAGCATTATTGACAATATTATTGATGTGTATATTAAAGTCCAACTTTGAATCTAGCGTCAAACAAAGAAGAAAGTCAAGTTAACCCTTTCTAAGGGTAGCTCAATAACAGTCATTGAAATTAAGAAAATCTATTCTATGAAAGATAAAATTTTAAATCAAAAAAGTAGATTGAAGTAAGATTATAAGTATCAATTTACTCTTAAAGTTGGGCTTTGTTATCTGAGCTACACATAATTATTATTAACAATGGAAAAAAAGTAAATGAAGGAATTTTTTTATTATTAATTCAGACACTTTTTTTTCTTCGTTTAGCATTTGAACAGACTACCTCTTCATCATTTTCACTACTGGTATCTTCTTCATTATATTCATCTGTAAAAGAAAGAATTGTTGAAATTAAATGTTTTTAAAGTATTTGAAAATCAATTTTATGATAGTTTAAATGCACTATCAATTAGGTTACCCTGAGCCCCACTTTCACTCTTTTCTATAAGTTGAGTTATAGCTGCATTAGCTAATAGTCTAAAATCGTCTACAGATTTGTACAAAACAGAAGGAGCAGTATCAGTTTCTTTTATAATTGTATCAATGACTTTACCCTTTTCAGATATACATAATTTTAATTGTTGAACCATTATTTGAAAAGAACTAGAAATACTACATAACCTTAAATAAAGTTACCTCAACTCAAAGCATCAAACATCAAAGTTTTGACTCTTCGTTTCAGCGTGACCAGATTTCATTTGACGAATCTACTGCTTGTCGAGGTTAAAAACTACTGAATTCTACCAAAAGAGAACGAGAAAATTCTAAATATCTAGTATGTTTTTTGCTGTCGTGATAAAACTTAAAAATAAGAATTTTCTTGATTAAACGATAAAGACATGGAAGCTCACAAAAGATACAGTGCACAGAATGCGAGTCGCACAGCGAGCTATGGAGCATTCCATGCTGGGCATCAGATTAAGATATCGTATCCGCAATACCGAAATCCGTTGTAGGACGAAGGTCTGTGACGTAGGTAAACGGATAATGCGGCTCAAATGGTGCTGGGCAGGGCACATTGCTAGACATGGTGATAGCAGGTGGAGTAAAACGTTAACCGAATGGACACCTCGAGAAGGAAGGCGTGGTGTCGGCAGATCACCTGCCTGATGGGTCGACGATATCAAAGCGATCGCAGGAAAAACATGAATGCGATACGGTCAAGACAGGGAAGAATGGCGCAAGAGAGAGGAGGGCTATGCCCAGCAGTGGGCTGATACGAGCCGACGATTATGATGATGATGAAACGATAAAGAATAAAAATAACAACGAAACCACCATAAGTAGAGAAACCAATGTTTTTTAAAAGTTAAATTCTAAATAAAAATGTAATTAAAAAAATAAAATTAAACTTAAAGTTAAGATTCTTCGTCTTTATGTCGGGTAACATTGTCATAAAGCTGTTTTGAGTCCATATGATCATACTTCTGTCAGGATCAAATCTCCTACATCCTCTTTCCAACTGACCCCTCGTAACCCTTCTTTTCCATGCATCATTGCATGCAACATCATTATCATTAAATCGATTTCGATCTTGATTTTTAATCCTCTTAATATCGGAAAATAGCCTTTCTACTTTGGCGTCTGACAAATATAGTATCGTCAATCTATCACACTCTATGCTCACTGCACGAATGGTTACCAAAAGAATGAATTAAATAGTTACAATCCATTCAATGAAAGGAGGAATACCCCGCATTTATCCGATAAGCCAAAAAAGTACTAGAATAACTGAAAAGCGTGAATTCTACTAAAATGTACCAAAGAATTTTTACATACTAAATTCTGTTGCTAGTACTTCAAAATGTACCAAAAAAGTAGAAATCTACTAAATCTGGTCACGCTGCTTCGTTTACATTACCTTTTTATTTATTATCTAGTTTTTATTTTTTATAATAGTTGAGGCTAAGGACAAAATCATAACGCCGTATGGAAGTTAATGATCATTAAAATTTTATCAGAAACTTCTATTCATGTCGGAAAATATTTAAATATTCTAGTAAAATACGTACAATATAGTTGTTTGTAAAATATCAAACATGTATAACAAAATAATTAATAAGTGATCACTTATTCCACCATGATCTAAGGCAGACTTTGCGATAACTTTGATTTTAATTAACACAATAAAGAGATACCTACATCTCGGTAAGTAGTCATTTAAGAACCTGCGTAAGTTTTTCGTGCATAACATCCAAGAACTTTGCTTAGTGCCTACTATCATATCTTGATATTTTTTTATTTAAGAAAAGTCATAATCAGCTGACAGTGACAGATTCAAAAATATAGTAGTAGGTTAAATTTTTGATTCGCACAAAGTCACAAACTACTTTTTAAAATATCCTTATTCTTGATTCGAAATGTAGTATATATAAAATATGCGAGAATTTGGTAAATTTGGTCCGTTAATAGGAACTGTAGATGAGGGAACCTCGAATGTGAAATTTTTGGTATTTACCTTTTTTAATAACGTTCAACAAAATTTTGTTTTATTTAGTATTTCACATATTTGGTCATTATTTAAGATAAGGTTTGCATTCCAGGTATTTGCAGCTAATACATCTGAGGTGTTAACATTTCATCAGGTATCTTTAAATCGGTTTAGTCCCCAAGAAGGGTGGATTGAACAAGATGCCTTAGAAATCTTCAATGCTGTTTTGGAATGTATAGAGGTATTATGTTCTTTACTTTATTTTGGCCTTTACTAAAACGTAAATGTATATCTTTGTTTACTTAACTCAATATATATTAAATAAAAACTGAAATTGTCCTTGTCAACTGATGGTCGTTAAAAAATATAAAAATTTTATGAAACCAGGTTGCTGTTGACAACTTAAAAAAATTAGATATTGATCCTGGTGATATTGTGGGCATAGGTATAACAAACCAAAGAGAAACAACAATTGTATGGAATTCTATGACAGGGGAACCTTTGTACAGTGCTATAGGTAAGCCAAATAATGTGCTTATTTATTGAAAAACTTTAATCTCTAATATGTGAAAATTATTTTGTTCATAGTGTGGTCAGATGTAAGAACTTCCAAAATTGTGGATGATTTAACCAAATCCAAAGGGGCACAATGTGTCAATGCTGTTGCCCAAACTAGTGGACTTCCATTATCAACATATTTTTCATCAGTTAAGTTAAAGTGGTTTGTCCAAAATGTCACTGTTGTTCAAAATGCAATTAAAAGTAATATATGCATGGCTGGAACTGTGGATTCCTGGCTTATATGGGTAAATTACATGCTTATTATAAAATACAGATCAATAAAAATAAAGTTATGTTGTAAACCACAATGTAAGTAAATTTAAATAATTACATGTGAATTTTTCAGAACCTTACCGGAGGGTGTAATGGAGGAGTACATGCTACAGATGTTACCAATGCCTCACGCACTCAACTCATGTCATTAAGAAGTTTACAATGGGACAATAGATTGCTAAGATTTTTTGATATTCCAATACAAATACTGCCAAAGATTAAAAGTTCCTCTGAAATATATGGTTATATTTCTACGGGATCTCTTCTTGGTACTCCAATTGCTGGGGTAAGTTTTTGAATTTGGAAGGCAATTGAGACTTAACCTCAACAATAACATGATTGTCAGTAAAAAACACTGCAAACTTACATTCTGTGCAATGTGTCTTTTATGAACTTCCATGTTTCGGAACCATAGGTCATGACACACATTTATTATACAGCTTGGTTTTCAGGTATTTTCCAGTCCTTAAGAATGTCTTTACAATAAATGTTATTAATTACAAAAATATATTTCCAGTGCTTGGGAGATCAACAAGCAGCTCTCATTGGTCAGAACTGCATGAGTTTTGGTCAAGCCAAATGTACATTTGGAACAGGATGTTTTTTGTTATATAATACAGGTAGGAGCTTCAATAAACTACCAACATATACAGCATAGCGTTAATGGCAACTTTAAATGAACACACTTCTAACGTTACTTGCCAATAATCATACTATAAATAATATAAATAAATCAGACTATAAATCAACACACATACAGAGGATAACTTTTTAAAATTGTGTTAAACATTTACTTTCTTCAAACAAAACAAACCGGACAATTTAATACAAGATTATTTAATAAATGTGACCTTTACAAATGAAATTTACGTTACAGTTTTATATTCAAGGATGTTATATAAGGATGTTATGATTTATAGTCGCGGTAGTAACGCAACACTGTATATTACTTTATTTGGAAAGGTATAATTAATAAATAAATCTGCTTATAAAAAATATCAATGTTGCAGTGATAAATCTAAGAAATAAATTGATATGTTTTAAAAATTTTACAAAACATTTGCTATTTGCCGTACATAAAGTATTAAAAAATCTAAGTTAATATTTCGAAAAACAAACAAGATGAACAAAGGCAGATAGTGCAATAAATATATTTTTCGTAAGTACTTCGTGGGTGTGAGGTGGGGGTGCAGGTTATTTTGGGATAGCATTGTCAATAAAAATATTGCCATGATTAAGCTGAATTCATAACAGCATCCATGTACATTCTTCAGGGACAGATTTTAGAACACTGCCATACTATTAGGACTGTTATCAGCTTCTACCGACCGTTACGTTTAATCTGTCATAATCTTTATTGTTATAACACATTTCTAGGAGAGTCAATTGTGCACTCACAAAATGGGCTACTCACTACTGTAGCTTTTAAATTGGGACCCGATGCACCTCCAATTTATGCTTTGGAAGGATCCGTAGCAGTGGCAGGTATGTGAACTAATATATCGCAGTTACTTTACTTAATTTTAACAAAGAAAATTATCACTTTAAACACAAATGAATGTTTGTTATTGAAATAGGAGACACATTACAGTGGTTGCAGGATGGTTTAGAAATTCTAAATGATATATCGGATTCTGAGACGCAAGCTGCAGAAGTGAATGATGATGAAGAGGGTAACATATGCTTTGTACCTGCTTTTAATGGTTTATTCTCGCCATACTGGAAAAAAGATGCACGGGGGTGAGTCTCACTCGATGTAGTTAAAAAAGGTTCAATTTTTGTGTCTTAATTCCAACTCTTAACTCCTACAAATACATATTTATAAGGTTGTTTTACCTTGTCTTGATTTCATCATCATTTGACATACTATTGGCTTTCCGAATTTTTAAATATCTCCAGCCCCTTGACCTTGATGACCTTACAATTTCAACCAACCTCGCCTACTAACCTACTCTAACATAAAAGTTAAATAGAACATTATTATTTATAAAAGTATTGGTTTCTTTAATTCAGCGTGGTGTTTTATTCACCACTAGCGACCCGCCCGGCTTCCCACGGGTTTAATATATTATACTTATAAACCTTCCTCTTGAATTACTCTATATAGTAAAAAAAATCGCATCAAGTAGTTTTAAAGATCTTACCATACATAGGGACAGACAAGACAGCGGGATGACTTTGTTTTATACTAGGTAGTGATGGCAAATCGTAGCACCTATTAATAAAGTTTATGGTATCATTTCACCTAGGATCATTTGTGGGCTGAGCGGTAGAACGCGAAGCGCGCACATGGTCCGTGCTGCCTTGGAGGCGGTGTGTCAACAAACGCGCGCCCTTTGCGACGCGATGGCGGCCGACAGCGCGCCGCTACGCCGCCTACTCGCCGACGGTGGCGCCGCTCAAAACTCGCAGCTAATGCAAATGCAAGCCGACATCGTCGGTATACCTGTAGTAAGTGGAATTCTCAGTAATCTCGCCTCGAGAGCGTTCCTGACATCACACAACTTGTGCTATTTCCTCCGCCAAACAGGGACTTTTTACACAACCACAAAATAGGAATTTTTAAATTCTTTCTTTTGTAATTACTAAAACAATAACTTCAAAATCATAGGATGCGGGTAGGGTATGTGAAATAGAACAGGCTTGTCCGGGGTAGTATCACACCTCACCGAATGGAAAGTATTATACTTTGGCGATTCGTTTGGTGAGTGGCCGTAGCCATATTCTTTTAGTCGGTATAGCATCTGCAGCCCGTCAGCTGCGGCAGATACATGGCGAAGGTAATCACATTAAAAAAATATAGGTGCGTGCCAACTTTTCACATTAAAAAAACAATTAGTTTATTTTATCGACATACACATTCAAGATATCGCCAAAGTAAAACAGACACGATTCATTTCAGATACGTCCGTTGATGACGGAAAGTACGGCGCTCGGTGCGGCAATAGCGGCGGGCAGGGCGCTCGGGGTTTGGCCATCGACAACGCCGAGTCCGCCCGCAGATACCTTTATACCAGCTATATCTAGTGAAGGTACACAATCAATTAATCAAATATTTTGCAGGAGGACGATCGACCACCGTTTGAAGTTAGGCCAACAAAAAAAAACCTTGTTGTATGGTTTATTTTACCCGCAGTGTGTAATTGAATTACCAGCAACACATTTCAGTTATTTTAGTTCATGTTATTAAGAATTTTTGTAAATCATTGAGTAACCGTTAAAACCAAAATCCAATTAAAATCGACAGCTAATGTAAAGTAATGCCTAAGTACATATGTACGTTACGATGACATCCTTAACAGTTGTCTTACAGAAAAAAAAAAGCTGTAATCATGGAAGCGTGTCTATATAATACAGTTGGTTGGTGGGTTACTGTAATAGATAATCAATTAAATTAACATGAAATTTTGTTTTATAATTTCTGAAAAACAATACAAGGTATGTATTGGTTATTGTTAAGGCTTTAGTAAAAAATGTCTACTGCGTCACAGAAAGGGAAGTCCGGCGAGTGCGATGGGAAGCGGCGCTCAACAGGTGCATGGGATGGGCCACCGGTGACAGTGATCAGCACAAAATTGAAACTGGTAAAAGTCTTAGAATCAAATTGTTAGTGGTGCTAATGGCATGATCCATGTTTATCATGAGCATAAGGCAAGTTCACGTTAAACATGGATCGTATTCAAGTGATCTTCTCGAACGTGACGTCTTTTCTCGCAAAAACACTTATATCATGGAATATAAGTGTTTTTGCGAGAAAAGAAACTACAATATAATATACAGCGTGTCGTTACAACCGCGACAAAAATGAACACACATCTAACGCTACTTGCCAATAATCATAAAAACATATAAACGTTAAAAAATCCATAATTAAAAAAAAATATTTTACAAACAAACTAATTAAACAAAAAAGAAACAAAATTTGTAACATCCTATACAACTACAACTGACTGATTCATACATTCAGAGACTTTTTCATTCATTGCCATAGTGTCCCATTACAAATCTCTCCTTCTAAAAGTATGTTTTATCTCTTGCTTTCGCTTTGAGACCTTTACAAATGAACTTTACATTACAGTTTTATACGTAAGGGTGTTTTAAAATTGTTTGTTTTGGAAAATTTTATAACTCGGTAAATATTGATGTTTAACGAATGTAAATGTTTTATACAATTTTAAATGTTATCCTCTATACGGGGTGGCTTTTCTAAGTGTATTCATTCTTTTTATTAAATTCTAGAAATAAATAATGTTATATAAAAAATGATAAATATTTAAAATCACTTGTAAGTAATTAATTACATTCATTTGAACTTATTTATTGCGCGGTTGTAACGACACGCTGTATAACAATGTAATTAATATAGATAAACGTTTAATGAGTAAAAGACAAACCATATAATTCATTACGTCCCCTTTCCCTAAGGATTGATACTTTCGTGACCCTATATCAGTGATTCTCAACCACTGTGCCGCGGCACTTTTGTGTGCCGCCAAATTTTGCTAATATATAATAATTTTAATAAATTATATCATTTAAAAAGAAAAATATTTTTTAACATGAATCTAAATCCACAAAAAAATAAATTATTTTATTATTTGCTTTGCAACGCGTTTTTTCTTAGTGCCAAATTATGATGAAGCGGCGTGCATAGCAATAGGAATATGTCTCAAGTCGGCGCACAGTTGCCACTTCTGCGTACAAAACGTGTTGTTTTAGTGATAGTTGGGATTCACAAGGTGTTGCATAGTAGTTACCGCACCTTTTCTTTCTTTAAAATTGGCAAATGTATGTGTCAATTTATAAATTTGTAAACTTATTAACTTTGCAGTACACCTATCCCCCGATTTACACAGTACTTGTTTTACACGTTTTCGCTTTTACACGGTTTTCCAAATAAGTTTTTTTTTTTGTTTTTATCGCACTCTACTAAATGCTACTGTGATTGAACACGTGCGCTGTGTACACATCTCACGGGGAATTCCGAGCTTATGTGCTGACTTGCTGCACACGCACACTGTATCTGTATTTCTTCGCATAAAATTTAAGTTTTATCTACGGAAAATTGTATTTGAGTGAAAGTTTCATAATTTCAGAAAGGTTTAATTTTCCATATTCATAAATTACAAGTGAGTGCATAATTTAGATTATTATAAATTCAAAGGTAATATTTGAACCATTTTTTTTAAATGTTTCGACAATATTATTTTTATTTTATCAGATCCTTCTGAAAATGGATAAATGGTTAAAAAGAAGAAAGTTTAATGATGATAATAGTGATAATGATAACGTTAGGGACCAAGTTAATGAGCCAACCCCCGGCACAAGTAAAAATACTTCTTGCTCAAAAAAATACGTTGCTCATCGGAAATACGTAGGTGGGATGATAAGTAACTAGCCATTGCTATTTAAAAAGTTAAAATTAAAAAAATATATGTGTCATTTTTAAATTCGTATCTCTGGCCACCTGTGTTCTAAATTTGAATTAGGTGGCGTGAAAATTTTATTGTTTTTTTGTCATTTGAAAATATATTTCGTCAACTATTTTCAAAATGGATAAAATTGAACAGAGAGCGGTGATAAAGTTTCTTCATATGAAGGGGATGAAGGCGAAAGATATCTATGACGAGTTAAAGAATGTTTTGGGTGAATGTGCTCTTTCTTATGCCACAGTAAAAAACTGGGTGGCTGAGTTTAAACGCGGTCGTACATGTGTCCAAGATGAAGCCCGCCCCGGACGTCCAAAAAGCGTTACGACTCCGGAAATGGTCGTGAAAGTACATGATATGGTTTTAGCTGATCGACGATTGAAGTTATCTGAAATAGCTGACACTAAAGGTATCTCAATAGAACGGGTACATCATAACCTAAATGAGGAATTAAATATGAAAAAGTTATCGGCCCGTTGGGTGCCACGAATGCTTACGCACGATCAAAAAAGGATTCCGGTGCAAAACTCAAAAGAATGTCTGGACCGTTTTCAGAGTAATAAGGCCGATTTTTACGTCGATTTGTAACAACAGATGAAACATGGGTTCATCATTACACGCCAGAATCAAAAATTCAATCAAAACAGTGGATTCAATCGGGATGCCCGGCTCCAAAAAAAGCCATGGCTGTAAAGTCGGCTGGAAAAGTGATGGCTTCCGTCTTTTGGAATGCAGATGGGATTTTGATGATAGATTACCTTGCTAAAGGTCAAACAATTAATGGTGAATACTACGCTAATCTTCTTGATAAGCTTCATCAATGTATTCAGCAAAAACGACCAGGTTTGGTGAAAAAAAAAAAATCATCTTCCACCAAGACAACGCTAGGGTTCACACATGTGTTAAAGCTATGGCAAAAATCAACGAATTGAAGTATGATTTGCTGCCTCACCCACCTTATTCGCCTGATCTAGCGCCATCAGACTTCCACTTATTCCCTAAGCTCAAAACTTTTTTGGGCGGAAAGAAATTTGCCACAAATGATGAAGTCATAGCCGCCGTAGAGGAGTATTTTGCAGGCCTCGAAAGAAATCATTTTCTGGAAGGCATTACTGCTTTAGAACGAAGATGGAATAAGTGTGTAGCGGTTCACGGAGAGTATGTCGAAAAATAAAATTAATTTTATCACGGAAAGTTAAGTGTTTTCTTATTAGGCTAGTTACTTATCATCCCGCCCTCGTATAATGATGATTTTTTGAAATTTGGATTTACCTCTACAATGGAAAATGACATAGTTGTTCCCGAGTGTGTGATATGTGGTTTTAAATTATCAAATAGTGCTATGGTTCCTAGCAAACTCCAACGTCTCTTGGTGACTAATCATCCTTCGCTTTCAACAAAAGATAAAAGCTAGTTTGAAAGGTCTTTATAATCAGTAAAAGTAAAAGTTTTTGAAAAACAAGTATGTGTGTCTGAAAAGGCTCAAGTAAGAAATAGCTGAATTGATTGCTGTTAACTTAAAACCTCACAATTTGGCTGAAGAAATTATATTACCTGCTTGTCGCAAAATTATGATTGGTGGATCAGCTGATATTGATGTTATTGTAAAATACCACTTTCAAATGATACAATCCATCGCACAATTAAAGATATGTCAGAAAATATTGAGCAAAATACTGCAAAAACTCTTGCAAATTCGAATTATGCTCTACAAGTCGACGAAACAACAGATATTACAGTAAATGCTCAATTAATTGCATTCGTTAGATTTATTCACGAAAATGATATAATTAATCAATTTTTATGTTGTCGGGAGTTACCTGTTTTTACAACTGGTAAACGTATTTTTCAAGTAATTAGTTCATATTTAGAAGAAATTAAAGTTTCTTGGAAGTCATGTATTGGCATTTGCACAGACGGTGCTCCAGCTATGACTGGACATCTAAAAGGATTTGTAGCACATGTTAAAGAACTGAATGAGGATATATTAGTTAACCATTGTTTTTTGCATCGAGAAGCACTTGTTTCAAAATTTTTGCATCAGATTTGAAAATAGTTCTGGAACAATGTGTTAAAATAAAAATTATATCAAATCAAGACCATTAAAAAGTAGATTATTTAGTAAATTATGCCAAGCTATGGAAGCCAAGTACGAATCCTTGTTACTCTATACAGAAGTAAGATGGTTGTCCAGAGGAAAAGTTATATCTCGTGTGCTGAAATTAAAAGACGAAATGAAAATATTTATTGAACAAAATAAAAATTATGATTGGGTTCGTAATCCATTTCTCATAACGGATACTTCTGTATTTGACTTAACGTTTGAATGAAGAGGAAGAACTCATTTTGCTTTCAAATAATCGAGATTTAATTTTAAAACATTCAGAAGAATCAATTAATTCATTTTGGATTAACATCAGATGCAATTATCCAATGATAGCCAAAAAAGCTTTAAACATATTATTACAATTTTCCAAATCTTATTTGTGTGAATTCGGATTTTCAGCATTAGCCAACATTAAAACTAAAAAAAAGATCAAGATTGTTAAATGTAGAAGACGATATGAGAGTAGCATTGTCATTTTTACGACCAAATATAAATGAAATTATCAAAAAACATCAAGCTCAAATTTCGCATTAAAATATTTTTATTATTAGCTTGTAATTAATCCCTTAATAAACGTTTAGTTATTACTGTAGTATATATTAGTTTATTTCGTATATTTAAAATTTTTGCCATAAACTATTTATGCAGTGTGTTGTAGTAAGTAAATAATTTTTATCTTTTTCTTTGTGTGCCGCCAAATTTTGAAATCGTTAAAAATGTGCCGCAACAAAAAAAAGGTTGAGAATCACTGCCCTATATGTTTTATACACCAGTGGCATCCCTAACACCCCCCAGGTCGATTTGGTAACCTTACGCTGACATGCGCTGCACTATCATAAATGCTTAATAATAATAAATATATAAAAAATGCTTTCAATCTGCACTCCGCCGTATGCGATTATGCGTTCCACGCGAGGACTAGTAAGGCGATGCAGTTTTATTATAATTCAGGGACTAATATGAATAGATGTACGATTAAGTATCCGCTATTCTAATTCACCCAAACAAATGTTAGGCTTTTCCAAATTTTATTGTTCTGCGATCCGACAAATAATTATAGAGTTATCTTTTTGTTGGTAAAATTTATTCTTTCCATTTTAGTAAGAGCAGCTAGAATTGCTTTTGGTCTAACAATTTATTGATTTACTGTTTAGTTTTCTCGTGAAACCCGTAATTTTCTCAGGAATCACAGAAAGGTGGCTAGTTGCAGCAGCAGACTATGGTCTGAATCATCGCAGACAGCCACCGTTTAATACAGTCAATGGCCATCGGGGTCACGATCCGTGCCGGACATTAATGGGCATACCCCTACCATTTAGGATAACGCACGAATGAGCACATTCGGGGCCCTACTCAATGAGGAAGGCCATATTAAACTCATTAGTTCTGGCTAGCCCACGAGTTCTGCGTTCGACGAAGCTTACTATTTGGGTGGTGTAAGCGGAGGACGGGTAACCCCGTTTGCTGCAGGCGGTGCAAAAGCGCACCGCGCAAGTTTCGTCTACCGTGACCTTCTTTCAATATCTATTAGTGATGGGCCGTGGGTACGATAGGCAGTAACGTGGGAAGCTGTCTAAAAATATACACAGATGTTCCCTATCTTTAGGTCCATGATTCTATTTTAGTTTTATATTTTTATAGGAATATTTTTTTTAACCACACCGCGGTGGCTCTGAGTTTTGGTTCTCCCGCGGTCGAGTTAATTACAATAAATTAAATTAATAGTTACAAATATCTTACTTCAATCAACGAATTTAAAAAACTGTCCCGGTAATTAAAATATTAATTTTATTAAGATTCGTTCATTTATCACTACTTAGTATAAAACAAAGTCGTCCCGCGTCTGTCTGTCCCTATACATATATGCTTAGAACTTTAAAACAACGCAACGGTTTTTGATGCTGGTTTGGTTTTGGCTTGGTTTTCTTTAATAAATAGAGTGATTCAAGGGGAAAGTTTATATGTATAATTCATACATATAATAAAATTATCAGTGTTTTTCACACTGATAATTTTAGAGGTTTCTAATGCGATGTCGAAAAGAAACATTTAGCATTGCATCCGTGCGAAGCCGGGGCGGGTCGCTAGTAATGTATATTTCTTGGATTTGAATTTCGCTTGTAAAGAAAAATTTATCGAGATTTTTTTAATACAATGACTCATTAGAATGTAAGATCAAGATTAACATTTTTTTTGCTGCTATAAAATGTATAGATTTTGTTAAAAATACTGTTACGTGTTAGGGTTCGAAGGATTTGGAGAGAAAGACCTGCTGACTCTTTTGAAGACTTTATTCAAGCACTAGGTCCAACACAAAGCACTAGGTCCAAACACTAAGCACTAACGATGTCCTATTTTGTAGCCAAGTCGTAGGTTTCACTGGTATCGCTTTTGATCACTAGTTTTCGCTCCGAAGTCGCCTCGAAGGTAACTCAAACTGAACTGTGTCCGCTCGCCTCCCTGCGGCTTTTTATATGGGCCGAGACCGGTTCCAGACTAATCCAGAAAGATCCTTCCTGGAACGTACCCGACACGCGCGAACATGTTCGTGATTCCGGAAAGTTCGCGAATGTACCCGGTTTTCGAGACTATAGTTTCACAGCAGTTCCTCTAACGCCATCTAGTATTGAATAGGGGGTTTTGTGTCGTCTTTGTTCTTTAGTGGTTTTAATAGTTAACGCTAGATGGCGTTAGTTCCTTTGTGTGTTCATAACAATACCTTAGACAAACCTATTTTTACTGCATACACAACAGTCACACATCAGTTAAAGTAATCAAATTAAAGTAATTGTCATAACAACATCGAATTAAAATAGAAATGATCTCAAATAATTTTAAAGTAACCAACAATAAGTGTTATAGTAACTAGCAATATTGTTCTAAAACTTCTTTTTTTAAAACCTCAATAGGCGATCCAGTTTATTATTGTGTCCAATAATAAATTGGATCGATTAAAGTCCCTAATTATTTCTTAAGATATTTATTTGGAAGAAAAATAAATTATTGCTTTTAGAAAAGAATCTCGAATAAAAAAGGCATTAAGTCACTAAACAGTGAATACCAATTAGAAAGTACATCACAAGACAGTGATGATAGTAGTACATGGTAGGGCCACGCAACTCTTCACTGTTGAGAGAATGGGCAGGACCATCCGGGGAAGTACCATGACTTCACAAAACACCGACGTGGAATAGACGTGATATACTTCTGCGTTTGTGTGGTGAGTGAGCTAGTTGGGGCCCTTTTTATTTAAAGTGGCAACGCATATACAATCCTACGGATCTTACGAATGAAATATTATCACTTAACATCAAGCTAACCGCTTGACACCTTGTCATAAAATAAAATAATAGCATTTGTTCAAGTCTCGTAAAAGACAACTGTACACCCCTCAGAGACCCTATTCCCCCCTCAATGGGAGAGAATAATGTTTATACCCCCCTAAGTGGGGTTGTTGTCCTGTCCACCCTACCCCCACTCCCCCCCAAATTTGGCATCACTGGTTTCGTTTGGCACGAGCTGACGTAATTGAGCGTTTTCGAGGGAAAATTAAATTGTTTTATTAAAAGGCTATATATGCTATTCAATATCTCTTAAAAGAACAGATTCTTGTGGTAAAAAAGATATTAATGTACCTATATCCTTAGCCAGTTTTTTAAATTCAGTTAACTAACCTATTGACATAAAAGTATTTTTAAATAAAATAGGCTTTTATGAATTAATAATAGATTATTATTTTATTGATTAAAAAAATTGTACAGAAAACTTATTTTATTTAAATAACCAGTATTTGTTTACAGATGAGGTTGACAATACAACAGCGGTACTGCCTCCTGGCCTTTTCTTTCTTGGCACAGCTTTGTTAGTGGTGATAGCTGACAAATTGAAGATTATTTAGCCAAATTAGTGCAAATAGTGAATACCTCCAATTAGTCAAACCATATACAGTATTAATAATATATTTCAAAGTAGTACATGTTCTGTTAACTATAATAAACAATGTAATAAAGTGATTTTTTTATTTATTGTAAAAGTTAAATTAACAAAATGAACAACAATATGTATGGATATCTGGACCAAAAATAGGTTGGAATATCTTTAACCCTTAATAACTGCAATTGGCCTTAACTTAACAGTCTTCTTGCTTATACCAGCGGCATGACATGTGTTAACAACATCAGTTACATTTTTATATGACTCTGGTGCTTCTTCCATAACCAGCTTAGGTGAAGCTACTCTTATAGAAATGCCCAAATTCTCAAGCTTATTTAGTACATCTTTATAGTCTATGTTTCTCCTAGATTTTGCACGAGATAATGCACGCCCCTGGAAATTAAATTTTCGTTAGTCTTATGTATAATACACAATACAATTATAAAAAAATATTTAATAATATTTTAAATGATGGAGAAATTTAAAATATTGTTACCGAAAATATTTATTGAGACTTTATAATACTTACAGCACCATGACAAGTTGTTCCAAAAGTTTCAGTCATACCCTGATGAGTTCCAGTTAAGACATAACTACAAGTACCCATAGAGCCTCCAATCAATACTGGTTGCCCAGTCAGTTGATAATCAACCGGTATTAAAGGATGATGTGGTGGAAATGCCCTTGTAGACCCCTAAATTAAAAAAAGAAATGTATGTGTAGGTATAAAAATTTAACTAAATTTTTAAACCTAAATAAATATTTAAACATACCTTTCTATGAACAAGTAACGTTTTTACTTTCCCATCTACAACATGTTCTTCAATCTTCGCAATGTTATGAGACACATCATATATAACATGCATATCTAAGTCATCAGGAGCCATTTTGAACTGTTTTGCAAATGCTTGGCGTGTTAAAAAAGTCATAGAGCTTCGGTTCACCCAAGCAAAATTAGCTGCTGCAGCCATAGATTTTAAATAATCCTGACCTTCTACAGAATTTATTCTAGCACATGCTAATTGTCGGTCATTTACATCTATTTGGTCTCTTTTCATTGCCTTCTCCATTTGTACTAAAGCATCTGTTGCTACTTGGTGACCAAATCCTCTACTTCCAGAGTGAATCATGACTACAACTTGTCCTGTCCTTTCTAGGCCCATTTTGCTGGCAGCATATTTATCATAAATTTCATCAACTACTTGTATTTCAGCATAATGATTACCAGCTCCTAAAGTTCCAAGTTGAGGCAAACCTCTTTTTTTAGCTCTAAGACTAACTTTAGATGGATCAGCATTTAACATGCGGCCATATTCCTCACAATGCTCCTTATCTTCAGCCCAAACATATCCTTCTCTAAGAGACCAATCCATACCCATTTCTAATGCCTCTTCTAAATCTCTAGCATTCATAGGTATTATTCCCTTGGAACCCACTCCAACAGGTATATGGTCAAATAAACTTTGAGCTAGTTGCTCCTAGAAAATTATAAGTAGATTTAATACACTCTTGATTTAAATTGATAAATAAAATGCAATTTTTCTCATTAGCGGTTGATTTTCGACCTCACAAAATTTTTTATTCTTTAGAGAATCACTAATGAAATAATCAACAAGCAGAATTCTCTGGTTGCTTATAGTTTTTGAGAAAAAAAAATATTAAAACTAGTTATTTTTCAAGTCCACCATTTTATTAATTTGACTTCAAAAATTGAATACACAGTACTGCCTACATGATAAATATAGGAAGCGGGCGGGTGACGTCATACTCGTATCGATTGTTTGATTAAATTCATTCAATGCCTTAGCCTTCATGGTTATCCCTTTCAGAACTGACCATACTAGGCGTACTTTCACGTTCAAAAAATTATTTTGGCGTGGAATTCCATTTTACAGTGTTGAAACAGTGTCGATCTTTAGTGCGTTAGTCTAGATACATAGTGCAAGGGCAGTTACAGGTCAGTGCCCTGCTTGAAAGCCAGTCTAATAGTGTTCTAAAATGAAGCTTATATTTAATTAAAGACACCAGTAGATGTAAGTTTACATTTTTTGGTTTAAACCTGATTAATAAGTGCTTTTTTTGGTTTCAATAGCTATTTTAAATGTTTAACTACAGAACTGTACTGCTATTTTCTTTGGATTATTAACATTTAAAATTACAATAAGTCCATGAAGTTTGAACGCACGATCGTGTGTTGTCGTTTGAAATCATACTAATGTAACTGAATATTCATAAAGTAATGCTTGTTCCTTTTTTCATTGGACAGCCAATAGACAATAAAATAATGGAAAAATTGCTTGGAGATGGATCTCGGTCGAAGCTGGACATCTCTGAAAAAAGAGACTGAACCAGTAATTCAGGTCCCTTGTCTGCTAGATAAGGATATACCTTTGCAAGTTTTCCAAGATGATGATGATCGTGATTCGTAATTATAATGTGTTGTTAATTCAGAACGTTGGAATCAGTAACAGGTAAATCTATAACCTAACCTACCACCCACTGCTGCTAGCAAAAGTAACTGAACATGGCAGTTAAAAAAAAAGTCAAGACTTTGTAGAACCACTGACTTCACTGATAAGTACCATGTTTATTCTACTTTCCTGATAGCTAACAGAGTCAAGACTATTGAAACAATCATGCTTAATTGTATGCCAAACCACAAAAGCTTAGACCTGAAACAAGACAGAACAAAGAAGCGTGGTGATATAGTATAGTTCACATCCAACAATGTAAAGTAGAAGTACAACAAAGGTGTGTTGATGGAACCTAGATGCACTGACAGGAATCAAACTGCATCTAGTAGGAGGTGGGACAAAAAAACAAGGCGTAGGTCGATGTTACAGCTCCGAAGGTGATTCTAAATTACAATAATAACATGGACAGAGTTGAGGTACTTGACAAACTAATCAAATACTATAGAACGTACCAGACCACGACGAAATGGACAGTTAAAGTGTGGATTCGCTCCTTGAGAGGTCTTGCAGTTATAAACTGGTCGCAATATAACATTGACTGTGACGCAAATAAATTTAAACCTAAAGGCTTTGGTTCAGAGTTGATTTAGCACTCTCTCATGAATTGCTCTACCCTCTCTTTCAATGACGCAAGATCCTGCCGAGAGGTACAAGTCAGCAGCAACTCCATTGTTGGATAAATGATTTGATAAATTTGAATTTCCCCGATCTTGCAAGAGGTAGGAAAAGCAGGCTGGAAAGTTGCTCTTCAATTAAAAAAATTCGTTCTGATAAAATGCGATGTCTACCTGTGTATCATAATAAACCAAAATTGTTTCTTAGCATATAATAGTGATTCCAGTTGTGTTTAAATGTATAACAATGTTAATTATGTCTTATTTGAAGGCAAAAATATTTAATAAGGCAATGACCGATTGCTGTAGCCATTAAGTTTTGAATAATGATGATTCTAAGTTATGAGTATTGAAAAAAAAAATCTCTATAAAGGGTAGTGTTTAACACTAAATGTATGTTATAGTGTCTGTTTTCATTTCTGACATTTCCTAGTTATGCATGATCGTAACACTGGGAATGCACATTGGTGCGGGGGTTTTAGAGAAAGGCATGGGGGAGATTTTTTTCATTATTTTTCTGAGGTACCTTAACCCCTAGCAACTTTGGTTTTTCAACAACAAAATTAGTATATCAAATATATCAAAATGAAAAACAAAACATTGTTCTGAAAGAACATTCAATTCAAAAAAGAACATTCAAAAAATTCTTTTTGAATATTGGGCTCCGGCTATCTCACTCACCAAACGAAAACGCGCAAGTAATTATACTTCCACTTGACGCTGGTCTTCTGTGAGGTCGTACTTACCCGGAGGAGCCTATTGGAGCCCATTCGTGCAACAGTCAATCACAGTAAAAAAAGATGAATAAACAACAACCAAAAAATTGGTGAAAATAAAAGTTTTTAATATTGTTTTACCCAAAAACGAAGAATATTGCGAGAATTCTGCTTGTAGATTAACATTAGTGATTTTTCTCTACAGAATAAATTCGAAAAAGTCACTCCCAATGCTAATGGATAATTTTACAAATAAGTTTTAAATACCTTAATAGGTTGTACATCCTTCTCATGTAAATTGGTTCTTAAGAGGCGAACACCGCAATTAATATCAAAACCAACTCCACCAGGCGAAACAATTGATTTTGGGTCTGACATGTCGAAAGCTGCCATATTTCCTAAAATTATATATAGTTGCAAAAATTATTATGCAAAGAAATTCAGAAAAAATCTAAATGTAACAAAAATATAATAATATAAAATAAGGCCAAGATCAAATATACCTATTGCAAAACCGTATCCAGAATGTACATCTGGTAAACCTACTGAACGTCCGACAATACCAGGCAATGCAGCTACGTTTGCAATTTGTTTTACGCCTGGTAAAAACCCTCCGGTCATTCCGGGTCTACAAGAATTTCTCAGTTCATCTAACATTAATTTTTCAAGCGTATTATTCACATAGAAGACACCTTCAACCTTCATGTTAGGCTGAAACCCTTTTTTAATTTTCCAACAATGAGGGTTTATTTTTTCTAAGTACTTCAGTTCTTCGTTATAGTTTCTCACCACCATTTTAGAGCAGTTATATATCTCCAATAACTAAAACCTCCACAAGAGATAGTACAAAACAACAATGTATTTATATTAACCGCCGATAGAGTATGTATTCTAAAATCTGATTCGGAATTAATGATGCAAAATTGACAAATGACAATTGACAAAATTATCATTTGGATCTAGAACTAGATAATAAGCCGGCAGTCACAGACGTAAAATCTCTTAAAGCAATACACATAACATAGTATAAAATGATAAGCTCATATGAAGCAATTATTTTTATTTATTTTTAATATAACTAATAGAAATTTAGGACATAATTATTTAAGAGTATGGCATACAAAAATAATCTACTGTGCCTGGCCGATTTTGAATTGCTTACGTTGTTATGGTGCTGTTATTTAATACCGTGCATACACGGTGCAGGCGTGATGCAGGACGGCCGAATGTTGAAGCTGGCAACACTGTATACCGGATATGACGTTATCTACCCGAGCCAAGGGACACATGGTCGCATGGACCAGTGGTCACTTGGATTTCGGCTGCGTTCCCGGACGGTGATATAGCCACTAGTGCTGCTTGTCGTTATAATAGTTGTTAATATTCAAGTTCAGTAATAGTTAAAATATTAGGATCATGGTTAAAACGTTGGAATTCTTATAATACTTCCACTTATTTATTTATCACCAACAAAGTACACACTGTGACAGAATAATTATACAAGGTTTGCAAAAAAGTGATGAGTACCTTAATTATAAGTAAAAACTACTTTTCAACAGACAGTAGACAAAACCAAAAAAACATTTACAAAACTAAATGTGATGCGTCCAATCGATAGTTAGGTAAATAAGAGACTTTTTATTTTCATCAAATCATAGTTTTTGCATATATTTACTTTAACTTATTTGCGTTAACATATTAAGTTATTTTAGTTTTTAATGCATTGTTTTATAAAATTAAATTTAGTCGTCATCGTGTACCACCTTACGACGCCGTCGGGCGCAAAGCAAATTAAACTACGATAACTTAATTTTTTTCAATGCTAACAGTAGGACCGAAATTATTAGAGTTCTTTAATACCAACCATGAAGTCATAATGCTAGTGAGAGAAACCTCTCAAGCCGGTGGTTACGATTATTTTTATGAGAAAAGGGGACACCTTATATTATGATCGACCTACCTCTGGTAACAAATGTAAAGTAAGTATGTATAATTGATATTGTTACGTGTTCGGGGTTCGAAGGATTTGGAGAGAAAGACCTGCTGACTCTTTTGAAGACTTTATTTACTAGCGCTAGGTCCAACACAAAGCACTAGGTCCAATCACTAAGCACTAACGATGTCCTAGATTGTAGCCAAGTCGTAGGTTTCACTGGTATTGCTCTTGATCACTAGTTTTCACTCCGAAGTCGCCTCGAAGGTAGCTCAAACTGAACTGTCATCGCTCGCCTCCCTGCGGCTTTTTATATGGGCCGAGACCGGTTCCGGACTAATCCAAAAGATCATTCCTGGAACGTACCCGACACGCACGAACATGTTCGTGATTCCGGAAAGTTCGCGAATGTACCCGGTTTTCGAGACTATAGTTCCACAGCAATTCCTCTAACGCCATCTAGTGTTGAATAGGGGGTTTTATGTCGTCTTTGTTCTTTAGTGGTTTTAATAGTTGACGCTAGATGGCGTTCGTTCCTTTGTGTGTTCATAACAATACTCCCCTCTTAGAGATGCTCGTCCCGAGCATCATTGTTACTGCCATGGTAACGCGCCAGACGATCTATGTGTACCACTTTGAATGTCCCTCTTGGTTGCTTTTGAATCCTATAAGTCACATCATTCAGTCGGGTAACCACTTTGTATGGACCGTCCCACTTGGTCTGCAACTTTGGGGATTTCCCTTTCCGACGAGTTGGGTTATGCAGCCACACCAGTGACCCTTCGTCGAAGCCGTCCGTGTTCGATTTCCGGTCGTATCTGGTTTTCATGTTCTCACTTGACTGTAACCCATTTTCCCGAACCACGGCGTGTATATAGCGCATTTTTTTTCTTAAATTGCAGACATAGTCTTGTACGGTCTCTGGTCCCTCCGGTGACCCTCCTGTCAATAGGTCTACTGGTAATCGTAGTTCTCTACCGTAATTGACATACGCCGGGGTAGCTTTTATGCTCCCATGTTCGGCGGTTCGGTACGACAGAAGGAAGAGTGGTATATACGTGTCCCAGTCCTTTTGTTTGTCGTCTACCAATTTCGCCAGATGCCTCTCAAGGGTCTGGTTAAATCTCTCAACCATTCCATCAGACTGTGGGTGGCACGCGGTGGTCCTCGTCTTATGCATGCCCAAAATTCTACACACTTCCTGGAATACTTGCGATTCGAAGTTCCTGCCCTGATCGGAATGGATTTCTAGAGGCACACCAAAGCGACATATCACTTCTTCGACTAACTTAGAAGCGACTGTTGTAGCTTCTTGGTTTGGTATGGCGAACACTTCGGGCCATTTGGTGAAGTAGTCCATGACGACCATAAAATACTTGTTTCGCGACTCCGTTACAGGAAATGGCCCAGCTACGTCAACTGCACTTCGTTCCCACGGTGCACCGACGTTATACAACCGCAGGTTCCCACGGCTTCTGGTCTGTGGTCCTTTTACAGCAGCGCAAGTAGTACATTTGCGGCACCAATCCTGTACATCATCTCGACAGTGCAACCAGTAGAATCGTTCTCGCACTTTTGTTAACGTCCTCTTGACACCTAGATGACTTCCTGATACGCCATCATGTATTTCACGGAGAACATCTGGTACTCTCGTTCTCGGGACAATTATCTGAAGATGGAACTCTCTGCCGTTAGTCTTCTCCCATTTCCGGTAGAGTATTCCGTTTTGAAGTATCAGACTGTCCCATTGCGCCCAGTACGCCTTTGTGACGGCGCCAGTGGGAGCAACCTCACTCCAGATTGGTTTTACGTCACCCCGTTTCTTCCATGTGATGATGTGCCGAAGGTCGTCATCTCTTTCTTGAGCCTCCCTCATAGCATCATTCTCCCAGAGACCCAAAGGACTTGTTCTCGTTAGCTTTAATGTTACTTCATTAGATTCCTGTTTGACGCAATGGTTGCAGTCTTCTGAACACGGCCTTCGTGAGAGTGCGTCGGCATTCCCATGCGTCTTTCCACTGCAGTGTTCCGACTTGAAGTCATACTCCTGGAGCTGTTCAATCCATCGAGCTACTTGACCTTCTGGGTTCTTGAATTGCAGTAGCCACTTCAAGGCTGCGTGATCAGTTCGCAGTAAAAACTGTCTGCCGATGAGATATTTGTTGAAATGTTGTAATGTCTTTACAAAAGCCAAGAGTTCTCTTCTTGTCACACAGTAGTTTCTCTCTGGCTTGGATAACGATTTGCTGAAATATGCGATAACAACTTCTCTTTCACCCTGTTTTTGAGATAACACCCCTCCAATGGCCGTGTTGCTTGTATCCGTGTCGACTATAAACTGACCTTCAGATTGTGGATACCCAAGGATTGGTGTTTCACATAGATGTTTCTTCAATTTCTGAAAAGAATCTTCACAAGTCCTATCCCAACTAAATTGTCGTTTATCTTCTGTCAGTCGATGTAATGGCTTGGCTATCTCTGAGAATCCTTTAACAAAACGCCTGTAGTATGAGCATAGGCCGAGGAATGCTCGCACTTCGGTTTTGTCCTTAGAGGTAGGCCATTGCTAGGTAGGAACTGCTTCCAGTTTCTCCGGGTCTGTCTTTATTCCATCATTGGAGATAACATGGCCGAGATAGTTGACCTTGCTCCTGAATAAACGACACTTTTTCGGGTTCAACTTTAATTTGGCTCCCTCTATTTTGGCGAAAACTCGCTCCAAGTTTCGCAAATGGTCCTCGAAGTCACGGCCGACAATGATGATGTCATCTAAGTAAACTAAGCAAGCCTCTCCAACTAAGCTTGCAAGTACACACTCCATGAGTCGCTCAAATGTGGCAGGTGCGTTGCACAATCCGAAGGGCATGACGTTAAATTGCCATAAACCTTTACCGGTCGAGAAAGCTGTCTTCTCCTTGTCTTTTGGATGAATTTCCACTTGCCAGTATCCAGATTTCAGGTCTAGGGTCGAGAACCATTTCATGCCACTTAAGGTATCCAAAGTGTCGTCGATTCGAGGTAACGGGTAACTGTTCTTCTTAGTGACATCATTGAGACGCCTATAGTCCACACAAAATCTCGTGTTACCATCTTTCTTCTTCACTAACACAACAGGTGAGCACCACGGACTTGTAGACGGTTCAATAATCTTATTCCTTCTCATGTCCTCCAAAAGGCCTTCAACTTCTTTTTTTTCCTTTGCAATTGGTATCCGTCTTGCTCGTTGACGAATTGGTCTTTCGCTTCCGGTATCTATCCTGTGCTGAACCATCGAAGTTCTTCCAAGGTCCCCCTTCTTGACTGGAGAAGATATTCGCGTAGCGCTGTAAAAACTTCCTAGCTTTCATGCCCTGTGAATAAGTCAGATTACTCTTGCAGTCATCGAGTAGCTCAGTCACTAATCTGTAGTTGTTGCTGTTTGCTGGGTCTGCGCCTGTCGTCGAACACAGAGATTCAAAAC